TTTGGCACAGTCTGTAATTTCTATGTAGTTCATGCTTAAAATAGCCTGTATTTAATCTTTAATCACATTTTGTTTTCACCAGAATATTTTTTAACAATTATCAAAGACTGTCTCAAGAACAGCATAAGTTTCTTAATTTTGTGATGGTAACAACTGACATAAATTCAGTTAATTGTGGTGATAGCTACATAAAATGTGTATAACATAATTATCTTGAGTGTCTTATTACGTGAGCGAAGTTTTAATTTTTAGTTATACAATGCCACCTAGTGGATCTGTGGTATAAGAACACCTTCGTATTTTCTTCATTTTCCAGGTTTGGTGTCATTAGTTTATAGGTATAGTTATAGGCAGCTTAAGGGCTTCCGTGGTGGCCCGGCTGGTAAAGAATCCGCCTGCAATGCGGGAGACCTGGATTCGATCCCTAGGTTGGGAAGATCTCCTGGAGGAGGGCATGGAAACCCACTCCAGTATTCTGGCCTGGAGAATCCCATGGACTGTATACATATAGTTCACGGGGTTGCAAAGAGTCGGACATGACTGAGTGACTTTCACTTTTTCATAGGCAGCTTAAAGGTATAAGCAGCTATAATAGCTACCTTCTGTTATTTATCACTTTGCTAAAACTAAGCGTCTATATGGAAAGACTTGTGTATTCAGACTTTGGTTATATGCCAAAGCAAAAGTACCTCGGCCATAAACTTTGTCAAAATTCTCCATGTCGGACCTTTCTCGGTTCTGCTTTGTTTCTTTGAGGATTTATTTTTGTTGTTGTTGTTTTTGGTTACAATCTGTGAATACTTTAACGTTGCTTTTATTAATGATGATTTCCCAAGTATTCTTTCTGCTCCTACATTGCTCTTTTAATTGCATGTTTCTGTGTTTAATGTCTTTCCATCCCATTGAACTGTATACCCCATCAAGACACACCACACCCAGCACTGAATATACAGATGTTAAAAGGAGTGGCAGGAACACTTGGAAACTGATAATAAATAAATATAGGAAAACTTTAAATGTTGTATTAGCAGTGCCAAGGAGTTGTTGATTGACACATTTTGTTGTCTACTCCTTTTACATGGAATAGTATTCAAAACTTTTAACACTGAACCTCATTTCTCCATGAATTATATTCTTTCTTGTGGTCCAAATGGACTGTGATGTTATATATGCATAAAAAGGAGATACCTTTTATTCAGCTAAAGGATCTTAGTTAAAATTAGTACCAATAAAGTATTTGGCATAAGCCTGGTAGATCAGAAACACAAACCAGGGGTTCAGATACTATTCTTCTCTGTCTTTCTTTCCCCAGAATCACCATCAGTTTCATGTTATATAAACTCAGGCCACACAGGACTGGAGCCAAGAAGAGCCAAATGAGGGTTTTAGAGTGAGGCTCTCCATCCTTTCACTTTTTTCCATTTAAGAAAAGAACAGAAAAGAAAGAGCAGGCAGGAATATACTAGAGGCCAAAAGAATAACAAACACACTTATAAACAAAGTTGCAAAATCTGAAGATATTTCTGAGGTATTAAGAAGAAGAAAAAGGAAACTCAGGACTTTCGGGGAAGTAATTTGATTTTTTCCTAAGCTGGATACACTAAAGTTGAAATGAGAATACAAGTGAGATTAGCTGTTTATGAGCTCATGCATGCTACTGTGGAGCAGATAAGCAGACATCTGGGGAAAGCAAAGAAAGGCTCTGATGGCCTTCAGCACAGCCTGAGAAACATGAGGAAGACAGTGTGATGTGGAAACCCTTGTGCTGCTGCCCAGAAAGAAAATGCAAACAGTCTAAAAGCTTTTAACATTCTTTACCGTCACCTCAATTGTCTGCAGTCCTTCCCTTACCTATCCATCATTCAGTTTCCAAAAGAGCGAAAATTGAAAAAAAAATGCATGCGTGTGTCACAGCCTCGATACAGTCATTACTCAATTCCAGTTTGTGACGAGACACTCATTGTCAGTTCTGCAAGTTTGAACCTGCCCGGACTGGAATGCTTAGATGGTAGCTGCCGACAATTTCACAGTAATTTTTGGTTGGGCCTGCCTTTGAGTAAATCACATCAGGAAAAATAAGGTTAATTTCCATTACCTCTGCTTTGTCTAGCAAATAATTGCATCAGATTTTGTTGCTAAAGTATTTCAGTGAATTGATGATAGACTTTGAGCTCTTTGAAAATGATGAAGGGATGAGAGAAGTAGACTTGGCTGGAGTTGATGTATGTTGGCGGCTTTAACCCTAGTGTAACTCTCTTGAAAGCAGCTCCTCATCTCAGGTTAAAGCTGTAGAACCCAGCAGCACCCAGAGAATGACTGATGACTGGGTTTTTCATTACCTTTTGTTGTCTTTCACTTCTGGTTCTGCATTCATTGACCTAAACCCACATCTTTTTTTGATTGGGGTGTAATTGCCTTACAGTGGCGTGGTAGTTTCTCCTGTACAACGTGAATCAGCCATAAGTGTACCTCTGTCATACTCTCATTTGCTTCCCTTTTGTTGCCCTCAGATTATTTCTTATTATTTCTAGTTGAAGACAACACACATTTGTCACTTAATGCCTTTCAAACCAACAGTGTATATGAGAAAGTGTTGTGTGGGTCTGTGTTTGAATGCATATATAGTGTGCATTCCTTGAGTGTATGCACGGATTTCCCTGGTGGCTCAGATAGTAAAGAATCCTGCAATACAGGAGACGGATTTGATTCCTGGGTTGGGAAGATCCTCTTGAGGAGGCCATGGTGACCCACTCCAGTATTTCTGCCTGGAGAACCCCCATGGACAGAGGAGCCTGGAAGACTACAGACTGTGGAGTTGAGTCGAGTCGGAAATGACTTGAGTGACTAAGCATAGCACATGTATATGCAAATCAAACTCATAGAACAATTTTAAAATCTATTGTGCCTCTCAACTTTTTTAAGCATCGGATGGTATCAAAATCTCCTGAAAGGTGGATTCCCTGTCTTCTAAATAATTTTTACAATAACATTTCATATTAACACATTAGCTAATTTAAATATTTATATGAATAAATGCCTTTAGAAACTCAAGCCTATCTCAGACTTATCAAACTCTAACCCTCCTATTAAATATACACACTCTCTTGAGCTGAGTGGTTTTAAGAGAGGAAAGGTTGTTCTGTACAGATATGACAACAACAGTTAGATACCTTTTATTCAGTAATTTTATGCCAGGCTTGATACTCTATATTGCATATGGCCTCCTAACTGTGTGGGGCTTCCCCGGTGGCTCAGATGGTGAAGAATCTGGCTGCAGTGCAGGACACTTGGGTCCAATCCCTGGGTCGGGAAGATCTCCTGGAGAAGTATTCTTGCCTGGAGAATTCCCTGGACAGAGGAGCTGGTGGACTGCAGTGCGTGGGATGGCAGAGTCGGACACAACTGAGAGACGAACACTTTCGCTTTTTCTTCATTGAATCCTTCTCACAACCTGGCGACTCGGACACCAAAGCCATACCCATGCTAAGGCCAGGAGATGCCAGAGACGGGAAAATTGAACCCATCTCCTGGCTTCCTTGAAGCAAGAGGTGGGAGAGAGAACAGTGCCTAGTGATTCTGAATGTATTTCTTATCCTTTCCCTGATTCTTTTATGTATCATACTGTCTGTTTTTATCCTGCTCTGAGGTCTCAAAACTCGTTTCTGAAACCCCAGCAGATTAGCTTCCACATTGGATGTCTGGGCAGGGACAGACTGTAGATCTCTCCTCTCTCTCTTTTCTCCCCTGAGAAAATGGCAGAAAATGGCCTTATGACCTCACCTCATCGCCACCTTCCTCCTGCTCTTCAAAGTCTCCATTAAGCAGCAGTCTGCTTTATTTATGTCTGTTTCTCTAAAGAAAAACTTAGTTGATGTGCCAAACCCTGTATTGTCAAACTTTTCAAGAAATGTTATCTTTAAGGAGATTTATAAAAACAAGAAGAATCTTTGTGGTTTTGTTCTGAAAGCTGGAAGTGCTGAGAGACCAGGCGGACTTCCAGCGCTGAGCTTTTTCACTTTCAAGCTGTAAAGGATGTGTAATGGGTTCTATACATGTTTATGAGGAAGAAGCCGTTGAAATATTTATTCTTTTTGTTCTGGCAAAGCATGACCTGCTGCACTGAGAGTACTTCCTTCATGAGACGTTTTGTCACGGGATAAAGAAATGGAAAAGGCAGGATCAGCCTCCTTGCCTAAATAAGTGAACAGCACTGCAGGTTTCTTGAGAGTTGCCGTTTTGAAGAGATAATTTGTATATTGGGTGGAATTATCTAAGCAGCATGCCGCTGTGCAAACTAGTGCTTTTAAAATCAGACCCAGTTCCCTTCTTTATTTATAGTTAATGAACAAACTTAGCCAGATATGTGATACGTGGTATCCAGGACGTCTTCAGTATAAGCTTTATTAAGTATTATTGCTGTTGTTTAGTCACGAAGTCGTGTCCAACTCTTAGCAACCCCATGGACTGCAGCACTCCATTACAGGCTTCCCTGTACTTCACTGTCTCCTGGAGTTTGCTGAGACTCATGTCCATTGCGTCAGTGATGCCATCCAACCGTCTCATTGTCTGTCACCCCCTTTTCCTGCCTTCAGTCTTTCCCAGCATCAGGGTCTTTCCCAAAGAGTCAGCTCATTGCATCAGGTGGCCAAAGTATTGGAGCTTCAGCTTCATCATCAGTCCTTCCAGTGAATATTCAGGGTATCATCACTGTATTTTTTTTCTCCTTCTGTCTTCACACACATTGGTCAATACACATATACATAAATGTACAAATATGTTTATAACTAGACACACATTTAAAGTAATTTTTGTTTGGGTATTACCTTGAATTGCACACAGTCTCAAGAGAGGCGAGGCGTCCTTCCTCCCCTGGCGACACTGAGGGGAGTACCTTAATGAGTCCGGAGTTCTCACATTTCAGTGACTACAGCTGCAGGGCTTCTGAGGAAGCCTGGAAACGCTGTGCCCACGTGTCTCTTGCTTCTGCTTGCTTCCTCTAGACGCCCCTCTACCTGGTAAACCATGGGGAGGCTGGACCAGTCCGATGCAACAGGTGCAAAGCCTACATGTGCCCGTTCATGCAGTTCATCGAAGGAGGGAGGAGGTACCAGTGTGGCTTCTGCAGCTGCGTGAATGACGGTGAGTGGCGCCCGCCGGGTCTGAGCCGCGTGCGGCCCTCCTGCCTGCGTCATCACAGCCGTGACCCCTCGGCCGCGGGCGGGCTCTGGCGGGCGAGCGGCGCTGGCCTCCTCGTGCGCCCTTCACACAGCCGTGGCTTCGCCCGGCCCCCAGTGCAGGAGACTGACAGCGAGGCCTCCTCAGGAAGACCTTTAGAAGCCGCGTGCTGCGGAGTGGGGTCTTGGCTTCCAGCCTTGTCTCGAGGACTCCCCCTGGCCCCCTGGGAGGCCTCGCGCCCTGCAGCGGTGGTACCTGCTCGGCACACACTGGTATACTAGAGCGCGTGGGCTCCGCTGGTTCTCCACCTTTACTGCTCTTTCTAAGGAAGGTCTTACTCCATCGCTTGTCCTTCATGAAATCTGCAACCAAATCCCACACAGCCCTGGGACCTGGATCTCAGGAACCCTGTGAGCACATGCTTCCAAGTGCTTTCGTTTTGGGGGGAAAAGTTAGGAGATGGCAGAGGCCTCTCCTGGAGCATTTTCGTCACGCCTCCACAGGGTCACTGGATTCCCAGCGTGTTCACTCCAGCCCTCAACTTCCTTCTCAAGTTGATCAGAAATCCATCCAGGATCCGTCCACGTAGAGCATCTAGGATCTTTGTTTTCTTGTGTCTCACTGGCCTCATGCCCAAAGTGTCAGCTTGAAGCCTTAAAAGGCCCTGCCACTTCCTGGTAGAGGAAAAACACACGAAGTTCTGGTATTTCTACCCCCGAGGGAACCCCTCGGGTGTCCACTCCTGGGAAGCTGTTGTGTTCATTTTCTAATAGGGTTATTCATATCGTTGTTGTTGTTCAGTTGCTAAGTTGTGTCCGACTCTGCGATCCTATAGACTGCAGCACGCCAGGCTTCCCTGTCCTTCACTATCTCCTGGAGTTTGCTCAAACTCGTCCATTGAGTCAGTGATGCCATCCAACTATCTCATCCTGTCACCCCCTTCTGTTGCCTTCAGTCTTTCCCAGCATCAGGGTCTTTTCCAATGACTCTGCTTTTCACATCAGGTGGCCACAGTATTAGAGCTTTAGCATCAGTCCTTCCACTGAATACTCAGGGTTGATTTCCTTTAGGACTGACTGGTTTCATCTACTTGCTGTCCAAGGGGTTCTCAAGAGTCTTCTCCAACACCACAGTTCAAAAGCATAAATTCTTTGGTGCTCAACTTTCTTTATGGTCCAACTCTCACATCCATACATGACTACTGGAAAAACCATAGCTTTGACTAGATGGACCTTCGCTGGCAAAAATACTAGATTCCAATGTTTGTTCTTGCAAGAAAGCCAGACCCCCTTAGATTTACACTGGCACCTACATTCTTCATTTAGGTTTAAAGAAGGCAGAGGTTTGTTAGAAAGAACCTTGCAGGCATAGTCAAGTGGTTTCACTCTGTTTTCCTTCAAAATGTCAGAGATTCTTTCTCAGTCAGAAGAACTTGAGGCCAAAGATATGCAGGAAGACGAGTGTCATGTGGCCACATGTAATTTATGGGAGGACTTGAATCTGGTTTATGAAACATGACAAATAATATTAAATGCTAACAAATATAAAGCTAATTGATTTTAAGGGGAATTTTTTTTCACCAATTACATGTAGATGTGTGAATAAAAATAAATTATAGAAAGTGTGTAGAAAGTACCACCCATACGTCATAGAACAGCTGGTGCCACATTATCCATCTCATCTTTTCTTGCCTGGAAAATTCCATGGATAGAGGAGTCTGACAGGCTGCAGTCCATGGGGTTTCAAAAGAGTCGACACAACTAAGTAACTGAGTTTGCTAAACATAACAGAAGAGCAGTTAAAGGCCGTCATAGCCTTCTTAGCTCAGCTGAGACTGTCAGCTTCCCACTTCCACAATCTTTTCAAAACATTGAATTTCCAAATTCAGAGATCTCTATATACAAGGGAATCTTATAAAACTTGTTTAAAAAGAAATGGCCACAATATAGTAAGAAAACAGAAAAAAAAAAAAATCAAGCCTCAGTGACTGTTGTCTTATGTCCAGACTAAGAAAACAGCCCTGTTGTAACCCATGTGCTAGTGATAGTGAAAGTCACTCAGTCGTGTCCAACTCTTTGACCCCATGGACTACACAGTCCCTGGAACTCTCCAGGCCAGAATACTGGACTGGGTAGCCTTTCCCTTCTCCAGGGGATCTTCCCAACCCAGGGATGGAAGCCAGGTCTTCCGCGTTGCAGGCAGATGCTTTACCAGCTGAGCCACAAGGGAAGTCCAACCCATGTGCTAGTTCACAACTAAAAATAAAGAATACATGTAAATCCATGGCTAATTCATTTCAATGTATGACAAAAACCACTGGAAAAAAAAAAGAATACTGAGTTATTGGTTTTAAAACAAGTCATTAGTTACATGATTTAACAAATGAAAATGTTCTTTATGAAATGCTTAAAACCAGAGCATAGCTAGTTATTCTAAATACTTCTGTTGTCAGTGGTTTAACAGTCAGCCCTGTTCTTCTCAAGACAACAGAGGTCGTTTGCACAGAAATACCAGGCCATATTTGTCCAAGAGTTCAGTGTGTGAGTCATAAGTGTTCCTGCCTGTTGGAGGACTTCCAGGGCTTAGCCAGAACTAACCTTCTTAGACATTTGAATCAAATTAAGAGTTCCTCAGCCGAGATCTCATGGTGTAGTCTTTCCCTAATACAGTAATCGTCTCCACTCTGAAGCCCAAACATTAAAGATTACCGTGCAAACTCCCTGTGGCTGAAGACATCGCTGATTAAAAGATAATAAACATTAGAGCTAACAGCATAGTCCAAATAACCAATGTATATTTGCTGGGGTATTGAAAATTTAAATAGTTTGAAAAGTTAGAATTCCTGTGAGAAAAGGTCATTAAATAGGGAGAATTAACTTTTGGTTGTGATGATTTAAAAACTCCCGTGCTTTTATCTGCTGTTTGTCTGTAATGATCCAGACCATTAATGTTCTTTGTCATCAGTAACTTGCAGAAGGGTCAGGAAGATATTTTAGAAAACCCTCATTCTTTCCAAGACTGGAAAGAAAGACTAGTGGATTTTTAGAATATGCTACATTCCAGCTTTAAAATGCTTTTTTTCCCTCATACTAACTCCTTTCCTCCCATAATAAACTTTGAGAACTTACTAAATTGTCTGTGTTGTAAAAACAAAAGATTCCCTTTCCTATTTTGTTTTTATTAGTTCCACCATTCTATTTCCAACATCTGGACCACATTGGAAGAAGACTGGACCACTATGAGAAGCCAGAGTTATCTCTAGGATCGTATGAATATGTTGCTACTTTGGATTACTGCAGGGTAAGTGCTCCCAGGACTTCCAGTGTTTATATATGGATATCAGATACAAGTGAATAACTTTCATGCTTAATGACCTGACTTTAATTCACAACCAAAGCATTTGAGTGGTGCCATGGGGAAGTAGAAATCCCTAAGACATCAAGCCGTCTATGGTTAAATAGCCAGAGCATCCACTGCAGTGACAGGAAGAAAAAAATAATAATTTCATTTTTATGTCCCTTTAAGAGAGAATATGCTAGGTTCTTAATGCAGCAGTTTCCTACTGCACCTCTGCCTTATTTGTTTTGTCAGTCATCCCCAAAGAATCTCCCTTTGCAGGCTGAAGGTCAGTCAGTATGGTCAGTAAGACTATTGACATGTTTCTCTGGCTCTCTTCTGCACTCAGCCATCACCACAGTAAGTTAGACTCTCAGAATCGCCCTTAGGTTATTTCAGCAGCCTGGTATCCTGTCCTCTGGTTTCCTTGCTTTAAAATGTAACTGTGAGACTCCTCCTACTGCCTCAATCTAAAAAATGAAATTCACAAGTTTATTTCCTTGTAAGACCATTAGCTCCCACCTCAGCTGCATGTTCAGTTGTACAAAACTGGCTCCCATACTCCGAAAGGATCACTCCTCTGCTCAACTCCATGCTTGTATCTCAGATATTCTTTTGACCTGACTACATTTTCATCCTCCTGTTACAGCTCTGCATATCCCACCCAGCAAATTCCTACTTATTCTCTAATCTCTGGCTGAAATTTTATTTTATGTGAGTGTTTCTCTGACTTCATCTGACTTTCTCTGACTTCATTGTGGTTGTTATTTACTAAATGTTCTGATTTGTCTTCCACATAATTTGGTCCATGTATCTGTCTTAGCAGTTATCCCCATAGAATTTAAATCTTGCTATGTTTTCCCTCTTCTTAGATTCTGATATCATTGGGAACAAGAATCTTGTCCTAGCTATGTTCTTTTTAATATACTAACATTTTTGAATTTAATTAATTCACTTTTGGCTGCGCTGAGTCTCCGTTGCACACAGGGCTTTCTCTAGTTGTGGGGAGTGGGCGCTGCTCTCTAGTTGGGATGTGAGGGTTCCTCACTGCGCTGGCTTCTCGGCTGGGGGCCCAGGCTCTGGGCGCCTGAGCTTCAGTAGTTGCGGCACTCGGGTTCAGTTGCTTTGTGGCATGTGGGATCTTCCCAGACCAGGGATTGAGCCTGGGTTCCCTGCTCTGGTAGGTGGACTCCTAACCACTGGACCACCAGGCCAGCCCTGTCTTAGCTGTCTTTACGGCATCTACCACAGTTCCTGCTGCAGGGTAGGCAGTTGATGAGTGCCTGTGGATGGATGGATAGTGAGTTAGTGGACGAGGAAATGAAATTGCAAGGGTGTCACTACGTCCAGGACCAGCTGTTTCCCTTCCCCAACCTCCTAGTGATAGTGACATCATGATGGGTATCTTGCAGGTCTTTAAAATTCTTTAGTGATTTGAAAACATCTTGGATGTCACTTCAAGTTTCAGCTTGTATCTGAAGTGCTGTGTGTAGACTTGAAGACACACACTCATTCTGACTTACTTCCCCTTCCAAAAATGAGTGCTCCTGAGTGCCCAGTCCTCAGGAAATGGCCTCTGACCCACAGGTGTCTTCCCTAGATGTTCCCTAGGGGGCCAGCCCATGTTGTGTTTAGTAAAAATTACAAAGAACATTGTTCCTAATTAGAAGTTTTCTCAACTGAGTGAATTTTAAAATGTTTTCCAATTAATACACCTTTTTCATTCATTTTAGTGTGCAATATGAGTTTTTAACTAGATAACATAGACCTAGTTATCAGAGAAGAGTTAATGCTTTAGTAGTTTTAAGTGTAGCATTTGAACGTATTTAGGGAAAACATAAAAACATTTTTTGGTACAGATGATTTATTTCACACAAAAAAGATGTCCTATAGTACCAATTGCTTTTGGACAGTTTACTTGTCCTTTAACTGTTACTGACTGAAGGAAAAGGATTAGGCAGAACATAAACATTTGAGGTTCTAATTAAATATAATAAAGCTATTGTAACCTAGTGACAGAAAATTTATTCACTGATCTTTGGAACTGGAGTATAAATCTAACTATGCTCCGAGTTTCCAGTTCTGTGCCAAAAAGGCTAGATTATCTTTATTTTCTGCTTTTTTAGTGGAAACCTAGGCAGGGAGTCAAATCTATTTCTGGGAACAAAAGTCTCAGTATCTTCAAACCCCGCTATGTGGAAATGCTCCAGACGTCTAATTGATGGGAAATCTCACAGCAGGCAAGGAACCAAATAAAAACTGTACATTTCGAGGAGTTTTTTTTAGTAAGCTTAATGTTCCGTTCATTATTCCAAATAAGGTTCATCATAAAAAGATACTCTTAATATCTTAAAATTTAAATATAACTTAAAATATAAATGAAGTATAATAATGAATTGCCTTAGGGATTTGGATGATGAAAAAAAGTGTATTTAATTTGTATGTGACTTCCCTGGTGGTTCAGTGGTTAAGACTTTGCCTTCCAATGCAGGCGGTGTGGGTCGGTTCCTGGTAAGGGGGCTAAAGATTCTACATGCCTCATGGCCCAAAACCAAAACATAAAAAAACAGAAGCAATATTGTAACAAAGTTAATAAAGATGTTAAAAAATGGTCCACATTTTTAAAAAAATCTTTAATTTGTATGTGTATTTTTTTAACACCATACACACTTAAAGGAGAATTACAAAATCACATTTTTACTATTCATTTTAGTTTATCTTAATGCCAACTTTAGATAAGAAAATCAACACTCATGAACATTCACTGTGTGTGATGCTGTGTGCTAAGTGCTTTCTCTGTTTTGTATCATGTAGTTCTCCAGTGAACTCATGTGGTGAGTTACCACCATGATGTGGGGAAACTGAGGCTTAGAGACCTTAAGTGCCAGCCTCAGGCGCTACATATAGAAAATGATGGGGCCAGAGTGGAAACCACGTCTGTGTGACTACACAGCCCCTGTTCCCTATCTGTGTGCTGTGGATATGTTGGCATGTATTTACAAAATCACCGTGGAGTTTTCCTAGAAAAAAAGACTCAGCTCTGTCTCATAACTGAAAGTTTTTTACCTTGAAGTTCACGAAATATATCTATCTACACATATAGTGTACCTGGAAGGTAAAGTTTCATTCCAAACTACTTTTTTTTTATAAGGTAGTTTCTCCATTTAATTTTGGTTCACTTTGACATTTATTTTATACCTAGTATGTCCAAGGCTCATTGGTTGTAATTCCAAAACTAGCAAGGATATGAGCCCGATCTCAGTCCTTAGCATGCGTAGAATCCTGATAAGAGAAGTACATCATTATAAATCCAAAAGGAAATGCTATGAGAGTAGAATAATTGGAGTGTCATGAGAAAACAGATGAGCAATCATGTCTGATTTGGAGAGGATTGAAGAAGGGCTTTAAAAAGTAAGTGACATCTGAGCAGAGGATGGTCATGTGAAGACGGAAGGGGAAACTAGGCGGTGAGCAGAAGCAGTTTCTCAGGTGTATTTGCAGCTTATCCAGTTCCTTTTGGCAGCCCACTCCAGCATTCCTGCTGGGAGAATCCCGTGGACAGAGGAGCCTGGCAGGCAGCAGTCCATAGGGTCGCACAGAGTCCACATGACTGAAGCAAGTTAGCACTTTTCGGGGTGAGGTGGGCTTTGCAGATGAGTGATGGGGCCCTGGAAGAGGGACTAGAATAATTGGAGAGTATATTCCTCTTTCCCCCAAAACACAGGCACATTCAAATATTTTTTAAAAACACTATGCCAAACAAAATCGTTTTTCCAGCCAAGGAAATATTTTTCTTGGCCCAGGCCCACTAGATTGTGACTTCTGGATAGAAAATGTTTTGAAAATGGCAAACACTTAAATTGGAGGAATGTGTTTTGGGGCATGATAGGAAGTAAAGCTGGGAAGTTGTTTTGAGACCAGACTATCCTTTTATGTTCCACTAGGCTTGGCATAGCTTTGATCTCTTAGGCTTTTATGCATGTTTGCTGAATGAGTATTATGGGGAGTTTCAAATGCCAGGCCATTGAAGAATTTTACTAATTCAGTAGGCCATGAGGACACTTAAAGGCTGAGAGGGGATTGTTGCTGTTAATCCACCCATCCATCTACACGTTCGTTCAAGTGTGGCACAGTCCTGGGCGCTCTTCTGACCAGGCTCTGTGCCTCACTCTGGGCACTCGGTCAGCTGCCTGTCCTCAGAGGAGCAGTACTGGGGTCTGTATGTGCCTTGGGTAGTTTATTCTGACAGCAGTCCATGTCCTGAGAGGAGGGAGATTGGTTAATATAGTAGTTAACCAGCTAACATGCAAGAGAAAATGAGGGTCATTTAGCAGTTCCTCAAAAAATAAAAATTGCCAAATGGTCCAGCAATTCTACTTCTGGGTATAGTCCCAAAATAATTTAAAAGAGAGTCTCAGAGAGAGATCTGTACATCTGTGTTCATAACAGCATTAATCTCAATAGCCAGAAGGTGGAAGCAACCCAGGTATCCATAGAGGGATGAATGGATGAATGAAGTGTGGTATGTACATAACATGCAGTATTAGTGAGCCTTAGAAAGGAAGGGAATTCTGACACATGCTTTAACATGGATGACTGTTTAGGACATTATGCTTAGAGAAGCCAGCTGCATAAATGACAGATACTATATGATTTTACTTACATGAAGTACCTAGAGTAGTTCAACTCATAGAGACAGAAATTAGAAATGCAGAAAAGTGGTTCACAGGGACTAGAGGCTGGGGGGAATGGTAAATGATTGTTTGATGGGTATGAAGTTTCCGTTTTGTGTGCTAGAGGTGGATAGTGGTTACAGTTGCACAACAATGTGAGTGTACTTGATAGCACAGAATTTACACTTAGAAACAGTGGTGGTTCTTGTTTAGTCGCTAAGTTGTGTCCAACTCTTTTGTGACCCCATCGACTGTATTCTGCCAGGCTCCTCTGTGCATGGGATTTGCCAGGCAAGAATACTGGAGTGGGTTGCCATTTCCTTCTCCAGGGGGTCTTCCCAACCCAGGGGTCAAACCCAAGTCTCCAGCATCTCCTGCACTAGCAGGCAGATTCTTTACCACGGAGCCACCAAGGAAGCCCAAATGGTTAAGATGGTAGATTATTTTCTGTGTTTTACTACTATTGAAAATAATTTTAAAAGGAAAGAAAATGAGGGTCCAAATTTGGTTACTGGAACTAGAAGGAGCCTCAGAGGGCTTCACAGTTAACTCTGTGTGGCTAGTAAGGGAGATGGACGGTTCCCGAGAGAAAGAGGGTGTGAAGCACAGATTATTTGAGAGGATCATGCTTTCTGTAAGTTCCTTATAGAAGACCAGCCAGAGTGGGAGAAGCGTTGTCTACACTTCTGAGTGTAAGATGCTGGTGGGGCCTTGCCCTGGGGGCGGGCTGGACTGGAAGGCTGGTTGGGAGCTCAGGAAACAGACCTTGAGGAGAGAACCTGAGGAGTCGCCGATAGAGAGGTGCTGGTTATAAATGAGCAAATGAGATTCTGTGCTGGAGCATGTGGCAAGGAGAGTGAAGAAGCTATCCTTTGGAAAAGGTAAGACAGTGAGAAACAGAGGAAGAGATCGGACAAGTGGGAGAGGAAGTGACACCTTGTGCCTCGGCAGCTGAAAAAGGGAAAGTGGTCTGCCAGAGACAGAGAATAAGGATGAGAGCTGGATTTTATTTTAGGGCACTGTGGTTTGCAGCCAGGAGGTCCGTGAGCTTCAAGAGAGCGCTTTTAGTGAGATGATCCAGTAAACCAGCATATAGAGTCCATCCATTGCCAAGCTTGGCTGGGCAAAGCACACTGGAGTGACTGGGTGGAGTGGTGGGTGGAGGCAGCCAGTGATGGAGCCAGGACAGGTGTCAGGGCCCGAGATGAGAAGCTTCCCAGTGGCTAGGAGGGTGATGGGGTAAAACATGTGAAAGAAGCGTTTTGAAAGAATAAATCGATGGAACTTGATGGAAAGAAAAGGAAGTGTCACATCTAATTTCATGTTTCCAAGCCTTTGGGTTGATGTGTAGTGATGTTATTGATACAGCTGTTGGAAGGCAATGTACTTTAAAGGAGTGACATATTAATTTTGTGGAGGTGGATCAGATGGTAAAGAATCTGCCTGCAATGCGGGAGACTGGGTTTGATCCCTGGGTTGGGAAGATTCCCTGGAGGAGGGCATGGCAACCCACTCCAGTGTTCTTGCCTGGAGAATCCCATGGACAGAGGAGCCTGGTGGGCTACAGTCTCTGCGGTTGCAAAGAGTCAGATGTGACTGAAGTGTCTAACACACAAAGTTATGAAGATGAAGAAGATGCAGAAAACAAGTTAGAGGGATGCATTACATAGAAATGTGTAGATTGGAGATAATGGAAGATATTCAGTGGGGAACTGGTTATGCTGAACTTGGGAGAGAAGGTAAAAATGGTAGGGCATATTTGGCTTGGTCACAGGTTTTGGTTTAATCAGTGGGAATGATGGTTTTAATTCTGTGTAAATCAGCATAAGTATGTTAGGAATTAGATTATGTGGAAATCGAGAGATTTGCAATAAAAATTGCTCGCGTAGACAGCGGTAGAGTTATTTTCTTTTTCTGACTTGTTGTCTTTTGGGCTGTGCTGGGTCTTTGTTGCTGCACCCGGCTTTCTCTGGTTGCGGTGAGCGGGCTTCTCATTGTGGAGCCTGGGCTCAGCAATGGCGGTGCACGGCCTTAGTTGCTCCGAGGCATGTGGGATCTTCCTCGACCAGGGATTGAACTGGTCTCATCTGCACTGCAAGGCAGATTCTTAACCACTCCACAACCAGGGAAGTCCAGTAGAGTTCTTATATTTCTTTGTTGGTCTGATTCTGGATGTGGCAAAACTATGAAATAATCAGGTTGGTAGTTTTCAAGCCCTGCAATTTTTTTTCTTTTTTCTTTTTTTTTTAACAAATGACTTTTATTAGAGAAATGTTACATCTAACCCTATAGTGGATATAGGATGAGTTACTAAGATAATTGGGAGATATTATCACCTAATTTTATAATTGTAGCAATTAAAGTATAATTTAGAACATTTTTCATTTATCCTAAAGTTAAGATTTAATTAGCCTTAATTCTTTATTCTCTAGTGTCACAAAAGACGTTTGCCTGTGGTTCTAAATATTTTCTAAATATTTTGTACAATCCAACTGATGAATCCCTTGCTAAGAGCTGTTTGAACACCAGCCAGTAAAGGGACCAAAAGCTACAAAATGTATTTAGCAGCTGCTTTATGTTACAGTGATTATTTCAAGCAAATAGAAAAAAGACCCAGTATTCAGCTTTTTTTTTTTTTTTACCATAAGTATATAAGGGACAGGTAAGTATTTAATAATATAGTATAAATTTTCAAGTATACAATTATATTTTTGTATGTAATTTTATATCCTTAAAGAGCTTATAAAGGAAGAGTTGAACCTGATGATATCAAGTTTATGAAGTTTAACCTCAGTTTCAAAAACAAACACTAATTATAGTTTTGTACTGTTTGAGGGCACAGTCTGCCGGGGCTCCAGACACATTTCTTCCCCTGAGCAGAGGGTTGTAAGCAAGGCCCCCACAAGACTGTACTCACCTTTGGGCAGTTGCGGTCATGAGGCCTTCTGAGCCCTGCAAAAGTGAACCTTCTCTTTTAGCTGTCATAATCCTGTCTACTCCAGTAGTGGGACTCAGGTCGCAGCCTGGAAAATAAACAGCCTTTACTTTTTTTATAGTGTCAGAGGCTGTTCCAGAAGGTGATTTGCTTCCACAGATGTCATATCATAAAATATCAAAGGAGAGCTCTGATGACCTAGAGTTCCTGGGGGCTTTAATTTGATTATGAAACGCATGTACTTTATATGTGTGTGATTTGCTTGCTTTCATGTAGAAGAATAAGCCTCCCAACCCACCAGCCTTCATCTTCATGATTGATGTGTCGTACAGTAACATCAAGAATGGACTTGTGAAGCTCATATGTGAAGAACTGAAAACCGTGCTGGAGAGACTTCCAAAGTAAGGGAACTTCCATTCTTTCTGTAGCTTACACAATATCGCTGAATTAATTTGTTGGCCAGAAAACAAGTGCTGAATGGCCCATTGAGATTTTTTGCTAATGGGGACATTAGATAATTGTTTAAACAGTGCCAAATAATCCTTAGAGAGTCAGAGTGCTCTTTTATACAAAGAAAAAGAGACAAAACTGATAAGAAATAATGCCACAGTAAGCAACATTCAAAACACATTCCAGGGACTTCCCTGGTGGCTCAGTGACTAAGACTCTGTGTTCCCAATGCAGGGGGCGCGGGTTCAGCCCCTGGTCCGGGAACTACATGTCGCAACTAAGAGTTTGCATGCCACAGCTGAAAATCAAGACCTTATGTGTCCCAACCTAGAGCGAAGATCCTGTGTGTTGTCGCTAAGACCTGGTGCAGCCAAAACAAACAAACAAATAATTAAGCAAAAGCTTATCTTAAAAAAGTGCATTCTAAGTTGTAAGGAAAATCCCAGCAGTGTGGTGGGAAAAGCCTTGGCAGTCAGTTTTCCCTTTTCAAAAATACTGATTTTCCAGTGGAAACAGGTAGTTGCTGGTACGGTAGGATTTCTAAGGGACACAGGAAAACTGACCGCCTTCTCATGGCAGCCATCATGGCTCTTTGGCCAAATTTCCTTCTGTCCTTCTGATTCCCCATCTGGCCCCTCGGCAGCCTTCCTGCCTCTGTGACCTGTGACTTAAGGGCATAGCGTACATCACTTGTCTTGTCATTGCAGGGGGAGTGCATAAAAGGAAAGATGGAAAGTGTGTTAGCACACATGACTATGTTTTATCGTCTGCAAACTAGCTTGTTTAGGATTAGAACTAGCATCTAGGAAGGAGACTTGGAGCAGGGAGAAAGCCTTTTTTATGGGAGGAAGGCGCGCTTAAGGACAAAAGGCGGCTGTGGAAGACCGTCTGAAACCTAGTGTGTGCACCAGCCTTAATCTCTTCACCCCTCCCCACACCCTGAACACCAGTAGCCTCTGTCCTGGAAGGGGTGCTCTGCCACAGCCCCCGGGGCTCCATGAGCGCTCGGGCGCCCCCTCCTCTCTCTGCTCCACGTGTGGCTGGGGCTGTGGTGCCTGTGAGTGAGACTCAGCTGAGTGAGCGCTGCTGCCGGACCTCCCAGCAGTCGTTCTGTTTGTATCCGTGAAGCTGAAGTCATCGTATTCTCAAGGAGATGGTTTGGAAAAGCAGTGGGGATGTTTAAGAAAACACTGAGGTGATTTCAAACTGAAGCTTGCAGTGAAGAATGAGCTGGGAGCAAGATGAAGATGGGGCAAAAAAAAAGGCCTTGCTGCCTGCCAGCGGTTCTGACTACAGTTTCTGTTACTTCGTTCTCAGGGACACTTGACAATGATGGGCTTTCTGCCGAAAATGACATCTTTGATCACAGACCTCTCACAGGGCTGCTTTAATATACTACATCTCAATTTCACACTTGAGGAGTTAGAAAGTGTTCTAGTTTCATTCTTTTATAAGTGGTTGACCAGTTTTCCCTGCACCACTTGTTAAAGAGGTTGTCTTTTTTCCATTTTATATCCTTGCCTCCTTTGTCGAAGATAAGGTGTCCGTAGGTACGTGGATTTATCTCTGGGTTTTCCATTTTGTTCCATTGATCTATATTTCTGTCTTTGTGCCAGTACCATACTGTCTTGATGACTGTGGCTTTGTAGTAGAGCCTGAAGTCAGGCAGGTTGATTCCTCCAGTTCCATTCTTCTTTCTCAAGATTGCTTTGGCTATTCGAGGGTTTTTTTATTTCCATACAAATTGTGAAATTATTTGTTCTAGTTCTGTGAAGAATACTGTTGGTAGCTTGATAGGAATTGCGTTGAATCTATAGATTGCTTTGGGTAGTATAGTCATTTTGATAATATTGATTCTTCCAATCCATGAACACGGTATATTTATCCATCTGTTTGTGTCCTCTTTGATTTCTTTCATCAGTGTTTTATAGTTTTCTATGTATAGGTCTTTTGTTTCTTTAGGTAGATATACTCCTAAGTATTTTATTCTTTTTGTTGCAATGGTGAATGGTATTGTTTCCTTCATTTCTCTTTCTGTTTTCTCATTGTTAGTGTATAGGAATGCAAGGGATTTCTGTGTGTTAATTTTATATCCTGCAACTTTACTATATTCATTGATTAGCTCTAGTAATTTTCTGGTAGAGTCTTTAGGGTTTTCTGTGTAGAGGATCATGTCATCTGCAAACAGTGAGAGTTTCACTTCTTCTTTTCCTATCTGGATTCATTTTATTTCTTTTTCTGCTCTGATTGCTGTGGCCAGCACTTCCAAAACTATGTTGAATAGTCATGGTGAGAGTGGGCACCCTTGTCTTGTTCCTGATTTTAGGGGAAATGCTTTCAATTTTTCACCACTGAGGGTAATGCTTGCTGTGGGTTTGTCATATATGGCTTTTATTATGTTGAGGTATGCTCCTTCTCTGCCTGCTTTAAGTGTGAAGCTACTGATTTCTGGAAAACAGTCTCTCCCCTTCTCTCAGACTGCTTCAGATTCCTTTCTCACATGACTAGTCCCTTCACCAACCCCATGTGCCTTTTCAGCACGCTGCTGATATGAAGCTTGTAACCTATTGATGTAAGTTATAAAATCACACTATTAGGTGTCATCATAACTTTTATATACCATTGGAGCAGACATGTGACTTTGGCAAAAGATAGGAGAAAAATACAAATAAAAAGATACTGCTGGATATTCCCTGCCACTTCTCAAATATTTCTCATAGAAGTTCTTATTCAAGCCAGACACCTTCTCTTTATCTTTTAAAATGAGCTTCCCTGGTGGCTCAGCTGGTAAAGAATCCACCTTCAATGTGGAAGACCTGGGTTCGATATCTGGGTCGGGAAGATCCCCTGGAGAAGGGAATGGCTATCCACTCTAGTATTCTAGTCTGGAGAATTCTGTGGACTGTATAACCCATTGGGTCGCAAAGAGTCGGATACGACTGAGCAACCGTTCCAGTGCAGGAGATGCAAGAAATGTGGGTTCGATTCCTGGGTCAGGAAGATCCCCTGGAGAAGGAAATGGTACCCCACTCCAGTGTTCTTGCCTGAGAATCTCATGGACAGAGGAACCTGGAGGGCTACAGTCTGTGGGGTTGCACAGAGTTAGACATGACTGAGCACATCTTTTAGATTAAAACAAATCTATTTTTTCTTTTCTTCCATGAAATCTATTTTGGACTGTATGTAAGTGTGCATGTGTATAACTATATTTTTGATGGTATGATTGCCATCAATTTGGTTTAATTCTTTGAATTAAAGCAGGTAATATGCCAAATTGCATTTCTAAAGCACAGTATAAGTCTTGGTTAATGTCTAAGTCGGGTCTTCCCTGGTGGCTCAGTGGTAAAGAATCTGCCTGCATGCAGGAAACATGATTCAGTCCCTGGGTCAGGAAGATCCCCTGGAGGAGGGAGTGGCAACCTAGTCCAGTGTTCTTGTCTGGGAATCCTATGGACAGAGGAGCTTGGCGGCTGCAGTCCAAGGGGTCACAAGAGTCGGACACGACTGAGCGACTAATCCACCATGACCACGAGTGTCTAAGGTTTGTCCATCTCTCAGCTAGTCTTTTGAGAAGGGAAAGCCCGTTCCTTACTCTTGAACTTTGAATTTGCATCTTTGGTGTGGCCAGGGTGGCAGACCTCTCTGTCTGACTTTTCCGGAACAAGACAGAAAAGATTGAAGTGTTTTGCTTGTTATTCAGACCAGACTCTTGGCTTTCTTTCTGAGTTGTTTGTGTCTAATGCTGGTGTAGCTAATCTGTTCAGAATGCTTGATTTTGGAATATTCTAGTTCTTCAGGTTACTTGATATCTCTGGTGTTGCTCTGTCAGATTCATTCCATTATAATAGCGGCGAGTGTTGAGGGAAAGGGTCATTGAAAAAGGGAACAAACCACGTTGTTCTTTATGATATCCTGTCTATAACTTTACAGAATTGGTATAGAATTAATATGAAGGAGAGACAGATTCCATTTTCTTCTGGATATGGTTTATCAAGGCAGCTATCCTGTTGAAAAACAAAATTTTAGCCTAGTTCTTTCTTAAATTTAAAAACAACTGTTCCAATGAAAACACTGCTCCTAATATTTTGTAATAATGTGAGATGTCCTGATTAGATATTTATAAAAAATGTTAATTAGAATTTAAGTGAACCCTATGAATCCCAGGATACTCTTTTCCCATCACTAAAAACGTCCAAGGCCAATGGGGAATAGCAATTCAGATTCTTCTCTATAATTTTTGTGTCTTTTGCCTTGGCTGACTCCGAGTTAACTATTAAAAGAGAATAAATGCGCTTCATGATTTGCTGGACATTTTTCTCTTATGTAATACAAGGTTTACTGGGAAATAGGAGCTTAACCAGGGGTGTGCTGGAAAACTGCTCTGAAATAAGCAAAGCCTTTATTTGCATTGTTTGCTCATTCTTGTGGTGTAAACACTTCCAGAAGGCTGATTTTAAGCTACCAATGCAACATCACTCACCTGGAGTTGGGAAAAGATACAATCAGTTTATCAGTCTGGGCTCTAACCTGCCATCCCAAACACGTGTTTCACCATCATGATAATTGTCCTCAACAAGACCTCTAATTCCCCACATTGTGCTAGGCCCTCTGAGAGCAGAGAGCAGAAGCCTTGAGCCCTGACCTTTATTTTTTTATAGGCAAGGATTCAGGAAATGTTAGCTGAAAGACACTCTCTACCAAGAGCCAACTGAGAAGGAGTTGTAGGAAGTTGGGAAAAGGAAATAACTTCTGGTTGGTGACATCAGGGGAAGTTTCACAGGAGGACTTGTGCTTGGCCTCGAGGAGTAAAAGTCTAACGAAAAGGGAAAACATGGATGCAGTAGAGTATCGTCACTGACTGCCTGAAGTCATGCAGTTTAGGATGTGGAGGGGTGTGCATGTGTGTGAGAGTCTGTGTGTGTGTGTGTAGTTACAAAAGAGAAGGATTCCTGTTTCCAAAAATTTTGCGAGTCCAAAATACAAACATTTACCAAGTGCTTTTGGAAGAGATTATAAGGATCTATTTAAATTGCCCACTCATTTATCAAGGCCACAGTGAAGAGCCAATGCCGTCAGCAAAGTAAACAGAAAAATAAAAGAGAATTTAAAGTCAAGAGTCAGCCTGTACTCTGCTGGAACATCAAGGAAACTGGGATGTCTGTGGTGGAACCAGTGGTTGGAACTTCACATCATTTCATTTTCCTTCCTCTTGCACTCAGGTAGCTCTCTAGGCCACATGCAGGGTTCAGAAAGCAAGCACGCTAGGTTCTTTTTCAAAAAAGTTCTCCCTGAGCAGAATGTTTGCTGACGTCTGAGGGTCAGAGACGCTGGCACCTGTGGCTTTAACACAGTCTTTGAGCGCTGTTATGTCGACTGCTGATTATCTGGAAGAGCATCACTGGTGTCTGGGTGTGCTATTTTAGAAAGGGGTGTGGAAGCAGGAGGGGGAGGGAGGAAGAGGGAAAACACGGGAGTCCAGACCGCTCAGATATAAATTTACTCAATACAGACTTGAGTAAGAAGATTCGTACCTGTATACTCCTTTCAGGAAGAGTAGAGTCTTGTCCTGGAATTTTGCAAAAAATTTTAAACGCCCTGTTACAATTCTGTAATCCTTATTGCTTTTACTGTCTACTTGTGAGTAGCACAAATGGTTACCAAATAATTTCATTGTCAATTTGTATATGTGGTTGTTTTACATATTTGTCCTGTATGTTTGTTTATATGGTATGGTGGTTTAGTCACCAAGTTGGGTCCGACTCTTGTAACCCTGTGGACTGTAGCTGCCAGTCTTCTCTGTCCATGGGATTCTCCAGGCAAGAACAGTGGAGTGGGTTGCCATTTCCTTCTCCATTATATGGTATATAAGTTTCAAAATCTAGCCCATCTCCTGTTGAGTCTTGAGAATGTGTTAAGATGAGTCACGAGAGGAGCAGGTCCTTTCTTGATAAAATAGCTGTCCTGTTTGTGATCTGAACGTGTGTTTCTCTTCAGATACGCCATCTGTTACTCTGACCTTCTGGTGACTTCTGAGAGCTTTGTTTATAAAGAATGTAACAAGCCTAGCTTGTTTATGGTGGTGGGGGTGGGGGTGGAATATTTTGTAATTGCTATGGCTTGAGAATAAATATGTTAGAAAAATACAAACAAATTCATAATATCTATTTGTTTTTTTACCTAGATTTTTGAGAATTTTTTTATCAACTTGCTTAGTTTTGAAATATCCCCCACCCCACCACTGTGAATCAGTATTATCTACATCTGGTAAATGATAACAAAACTTTAAAACATATCTTCCATATGTCTTATGGAATTCCTTACTGAATTTTTTTAACTTAAATTCCTTACTGGATTTCTCATAGAGACTTCTCTCATAAATTTATGAAAGAGCCTCAAACTTTTCCCCCCCACCCCTCTCACAGGGAAGATCAAGAAGAAACTTCTGCAATTCGAGTTGGTTTCATCACATATAACAAAGTTCTGCATTTCTTCAATGTGAAGAGTAATCTGGCCCAGCCTCAGATGATGGTCGTGACCGACGTCAGCGAGGTCTTTGTTCCTCTGTTGGATGGTTTCCTTGTCAACTATCAAGAATCTCAGTCTGTGATTCACAAGCAAGTACCAAGTGCTTTATAATTTAGACCCAGGTCACTTGTCTGTCTGTCCATGTCTTGATTCAATCGCATATGTCTTGTTTTGTCATCAACAAGGGGGTTTTAACACATGGATTATAAAACTCTATGTTAGGTCTGTCTCTCCCCAGCGTAGACCAGTGTCTGAAACGAGGAATGATTCAGTTCTCACACTCAGCCTGTCCGTCCCTTCTCTTTGCTGGAGAGGCAGCAGAGGAGTTACTTCCTATGCGTGGATCAGCATTTTCACTGATGATGTAGCCACTGTTGTATAATTCATAGCCTAAGAGATCAGAAATGTGGTAAATAGAAAAGTACCATTTATAAAGAGCATGATTTTTGTAAATGTTCCAACCAAATCATGAATTTTGGTGCCAAACCACGCCAGGGTATCGTTCCCTGAGGAGGGACCTGTGAGATTCATGCACAGGCGTCCAGTGTAAAATAAACACCACATGTATTTAGCCTCGATGTGCTTGTGAGTTACTTCTTGAGGTGTGTTATAAATATGCTGAGTATTTAAAGCCTTTTGCTCATTCATTTCTTACAGTTTATTGGATCAGATTCCAGAGATGTTTGCAGACTCTAATGAGAATGAGACCGTCTTTGCCCCTGTCATCCAGGCTGGCATGGAAGCCCTAAAGGTGAGCAGAAGCCTCTTGTGGTTGGTAGTAAGTGAACTTTAGAAATGACACACACACGGAAAGTTTCATCCATGAAAAAAATACAGCCTTCATTAAAGCATGCAGCTTGCTGGAGGCTGTTGTTCCCCACTTCCCCGCAAATCTCAGGAGGAAACGGCCAGACCGCAGCTCGCTCCCAGCGTTTACATTCCAGCGCTGTTAGCATCTGAGCAACTGATTCTGTCAGGGTTTCCAGTTTAGCTCCTCCCTTTGGCTTTCATATGAACTTTATGTGATCTATTTTTAAATTACTGCAGCAACATCTGAACTACCAGATATGAAGAGGAAAACCCCCATTTCTCTCCTTCCTTGGGGTTTTCAAACATGCAGGGGCAAAGTCGTGACTAATCAGTGGCAGAAGCAGACGCTGCTGGGCCTCCCGAACGCGTCGTGGGTGTGGGGTTGGCATGCCTCTGTTTGGGAAGCTGGGCCAAAGTGACTCTGGTCATTGTCGTCGTAATAAAGACAGTGATTTGAGGAAGGCGGAATGGTTGGAAAGTGCTTCACTCTTAATCATTATTACCTTAGCACAGGAGTCACCTTTGGTCTAGACAGCTAGTTCCTGAAATTGGTTTTTTAATCTTATTATTAAAGCTACATTTAAATTAATTTTTAAGATAAAATGGCTAGCAATAATAACAAACAGCAACAACAACCCTACGGAATTAAGTTTATGAACTACTTCCACATAAATTTTTTGACCAGACATTTTAGTCTGGTTCCAGTATAGATGCTTGCCTGGCTTTTTTGATCTTCAGAGTATTTACTGATGAGATCAAAGACTTGCAGATATCCCTCAAAAAGCCTCAATACATGTTAATTTAACATAAAATTAAAGATAAAGTTTATATCCGAAAGTGATTTGGAAATGTTAATTTTCATCCCGTGGAAGCCAGCAGTGATCATTGTTGGGACTACAGAAAGACTTTAGGAATTCCTATTTTATTCCACACTGCTAAAGACAAATATCTGTTTCAGTTTGAAAGTTCTGCAGTTGTTGTTATTCTGTCCTCCGATAAGGTGTCTAGAAATTCATATGTAAATTTCCTGATATGTGATAAGTTATACATGATGCTACAGGTCTTTCTACCCTAATGAGTTCATCCTGGGAGTAACAGTATATTTACGTGCACGTGCCTGAGAGGAAAGATGAGTGGAGAATCACAAGCCAGTAAATCACTAGTTAAGACCGCAGAGTGGCTCTTCTTTAAGTGAAGTGAAAGTCGCTCAGTCGTGTCTGACTCTTTGCGACTCCATGGACTATGCAGTCCATGCAATTCTCCAGGCCAGAATACTGGAGTGGGTAGCCTTTCCCTTCTCCAGGGGATCTTCCCAACCCAGGGATTGAACCCAGGTCTCCCCCATTGCAGGCGGATTCTTAACCAGGTGAGCCACAAGGTCTCTTCTTTCAGTTCAGTTCAGTTCAGTCGCTCAGTCGTGTCCGACTCTTTGTGACCCCGTGAATAGCAGCATGCCAGGCCTCCCTGTCCATCACCAACTCCCGGAGTTTACTCAAACTCATGTCCATCGAGTCGGTGATGCCATCCAGCCATCTCATTCTCTGTCGTCCCCTTCTCCTCCTGCCCCCAATCCCTCCCAGCATCAGGGTATTTTCCAACGAGTCAACTCTTCACATGAGGTGGCCAAAGTACTGCAGTTTCAGTTTCAGCATCAGTCCTTCCAGTGAACACCCAGGACTTATTTCCTTTAGGATGGACTGGTTGGATCTCCTTGCAGTCCAAGGGATTCTCAAGAATCTTCTCCAACACCACAGTTCAGAAGCATCAATTTTTTGGTACTCAGCTTTCTTCACAGACCAACTCTCACATCCAGACATGACCACTGGAAAAACCATAGCCTTGACCAGACGGACCTTTGTAGGCAAAGTAATGTCTCTGCTTTTTAATATGCTCTGTAAGTTGGTCATAACTTTCCTTCCAAGGAGTAAGTGTCTTTTAATTTCATGGCTGCAGTCACCATCTGCAGTGATTTTGGAGCCCAAAAAAATGAAGCCTGACACTGTTTCCACTGTTTCCCCATCTATTTCCCATGAGGTGATGCGACCAGATCTTAGCATGATCTTAGTTCTGTAGTTGCTAGTAAATAATTTTTTTAAAAAGACAGGCATGCACACACACAGGAAGTTTCATCCATAAAAGAAAATACAGGCATCATTAAAATATGCATACAGAATCCCAGCTCAACCCTATATATCATCTCTAAAAGGGAGCAGTACTGTCTTGTCACAGTGGGTTCTGCACTGGCAGTCCACACGAGGTCTAGAGGCTGCTAAGCTTCCTAGAAAGAAAAAATGTAGGGAGCAGTTTGTGTGCATGCTTTCCACGTGTCCAGAGTGTGGTGTTAGGGTGCAGGACAGAAATCACTGTGTTCCCTAGTGAGCAGGGTGTTCCTGGAGGCCACTTAGCACCATGCCGACTGCACTGTGTTCTCAGCTGCCCGTCCGTTACCAGAGGCCACTTCATTTCAGCCCATCTCTCTGTTATTTTTATATTATGCTTGCAGTTTTAATGTAAGAGTAACATATGCCTTTCCATTGACGTTTAAAGAGAAGAAACAAACCTCTAAATATAACTAATCAGAAATCAAAGTTAATAAGTACACTATTCTTACAAAGTAGAATGAACTCATTTTGGAGAAGGTAAAGAACTGTCCTTCTGTGAAGATGAGGAGCTGGACATGCTGTCGGTGGCGGTTCCTGCCTGGTGCCTGCTGCCAGGTTCCCCCAGCCCCAGCCCTGCACAGGCCCCGTGGCTGCAGGACCAGAAGGCGGCCACACCCTACCTAATGTCAGTGCAGTCACGTGTTTAAAGGGCAAGTGCTTTTTAAAACTACAACTTTTGGCCCCACTTCCAGAGATCCTGATTCATCAGCTCCACAGTTTACTGATTATCTGTATTTAGGAACCACCAGCATCAAGAATTGCTACTCATTCTGCAGTCTCTCAGAATATCCTCACATTAAGTTAACTCTGCAGAAAATTGCATACCTGACCCTTCCAGCTTCACATTACACTTGGACTAAGAATGCTTTTCATTTAACTATGATTTAATGTCTTATTCTCTGCGTTTATTTTTAATTTATGTCTTTAGCTGTGCCAGGTCTTTGCTGCGCTAGTTGCAGTGAGCAGGGGCTACTCTCATAGGGGGGTACAGGCTTCTCACTGTAGTGGCTTCTCTTGTTGCAGACCCCAAGTTTCAGCAGCTGTGGCACATGGGCTCTGAAGCACGGGCTCCGGGGCTTAGTTGCCCCGCGGCACAGGAAGATATTCCCTGACCGGGAATCGAACCCATGTCTCCTGTATTAACAGGCAGGTTCTTTACCACTGAGACACCAGGGAAGCTCTTCTATGCTTTAAACTGATGGTTAAATTAAGAAAAAACACAATGAGGAAAGTTTCTTTCTTGTGTATAACATTAAGTGGAGACATTATTGAATGATTCAATCTCTAACATGTAGAAAAGATTCACCAGCTGGTTTCCTAGAGTCAGTTGTGATAAGCATTCTAATTCATAGTTTATTTTAGCCTTGACTACAATAAAACTACTACTACTACTTAGGGTGGATGTTCCGGTTTCCCTGACCTTTCTACTGATTTCTAGTTCTTTACATTTGCCTTAGTAATTCTATTATTATGTGCCTTTAATTGTCTGTTTCATCAAAAGTTTTTTTACAAATAGATTATTGCTACAAATAACAAATTAATGAAAAATATTTCTTCTGCATCTCCCAGGAAGATTCCAGGGGATTATAATTTGTTGTATAAGAGCAGAAACTACTATAGTACAGTTGGAGCTTGTCTGTGGGTTATACTATCTGCCTCAAGCAACTTTATCAGGTTTGGATGAAGAAAAAATAGCATAAATGTGTGTTTGTGTAAAAGTGTGTAAATGTCTAATGTGTGTATGATAGTTCAGCTGCCTCTGACAGTCATACTATCTCATCATCTTTCAGCTTCTGTGTGACTAAAAATCAGTCAGACTTAAATTTGTATATACATATACAAGGGTACTAAAATTCTTGCCTGAAGTCATTATCAGGCTGAAGGCTAACAGTTCTGAGAATCTGCAGGCTAGTATCTAAGTATTAAAGAGACCACATCATTCGTTCACTTGTTCTTTCAATCAGCAAAGATTGACCAAATGCCTGTGTTTTATGAGACAGTGTTAGGACTACTGTCCCTGTTTCTAAGTTGCTCACAGTGTGTGGAAGAGATGTAACTCTGTAATACAAGACATGATGTTTATTGCTGATGTTCCCAAAAAGCTGTGGGGAGGAGAGCAAAGAGTACCTCTGGAGTGTCCAGGTGTGCTGCAGGTCAGTGAGCAGCTCAGCGTATTCTGCCCTGGAGGCCGAGCCCAGGGTCTCATCCCCTCCGCACAGGAGGAGAAGCTGAGAGGACAGCAAAGCGCACCGTTTGTTCTTTGTGTCCGAGTGGAGACGCCGTAGAATCAGGCTCCCCCACTTGAATTATAGCTTTACCTTCTATCAGATAGATGCCAAGTCAAAGCTATATATAATTAGTTGTAATAAACTTTTTGAAGCAAAGACGGAAGACAAAAATGGACATAAAACATGCACAGATTTGTCACAAAGATAAAAAGGGACTGTTTGGAACGTTCTTACACATACTTTCCAGCTAAAGTCTTCAGTTCTCTATTTTCTGTTGTACATGCTTCCGTGTCTACAGCACCTTGTACTCATAGTGTCTTTTTTTTAATATATATAGTCTTTCAAAATCTGCATCTATTTTAAAATCTGACACTCATAGTCCAACTGTATGTGAATTGCTGGCACTGTTTTTCAAGTTGGCCTCAGAGCAGTTTTCTGAGTTAGCTTTCACTTTCCCATAAAACGAGATAAACAGAGTTTGCCAAAAAGTTGGAGGGAAATGGCCTTGAGCAGTTATGCTTCAAGTACATCATTAGATGTGAGGAGTTCATCTCTCAGTCGTCTTCATAAATGCTTCCGTTTGGTTTCAAGATGCTGTGTCACCACGTTCCCTCCACGGGAATTCATAGGGCACCTGTAGGGTGAGGGGCCAGACCTGAGGCAGGGGCAGGGCGGGCGGTGTGGCTGGAGAAACCCGTGGTAGGCAAGTCACAGGCCTGCCTTCCTCGTGGACCAGAGATCCTGGAAGACAGCAGAATCATAAAGGGTCATGAATTCTAGAAAAGTCTCACCTATAGAGCACAGCGGGGCAGAGGTAGAGGCAAGCAGCTCTGCCAAGGGCGACGATAACAGCTCTCTCAGAAGAAAGGACGTTGGAGCTGAACTTTGAACAATGGGTTCTCCAGGTCAGGCTTCCTCAGCCTGTTTCCATCATAACAAGAATGGCATGTCACTCGTCTAATCCTGTATGATACCCTCATGTGGGCACAATCAGATTCTGGTAGAAACATAACATTTTGTAGGGACATAAAGCGTATGAAGCCATAGGAGCTCTTTATTTTATTGCTACTTATAAAAGATTTTTTAAAGGATGTGATTAATGAAATTATATATGAAATTAATAGCCATTATATATATAAATAAAAAGATAAATATGGCTTCTTAATTTTTTTCCCCAATATTATACTTTATCTTTTTTCCTTCAGAGTTTTACTCAATGGGTAGTATTAACTAGGCAGTCATGTATGTGTAGTTATGATTAACACCATGTCCTGGATCATTGAATTCTCTCAGTATTTTTGTATAACAGTTATGATGTTTCCTATGTTATATAATTAGGTAATTGAGGCATGAAAGTGAAAGCTGCTCAGTCATGTCCAGCTCTTTGCAACCCCATGGTCTATACAGTCCATGGAATTCTCCAGGCCAGAATACTGGAGTGGGTAGGCTTTCCCTTCTCCAGGGGATCTTCCCAACCCAGGGATCGAACCCAGGTATCCTGCATTGGAGGCAGATTCTCTGATAGCTGAGCCACAAGGGAAGCCCTGTTGAGGCATAGAGAAGTTAAATATTTTGCCCAGTGTCATTTAGCTAATAAAATGGCTGGGATTCTAAACCCTTGCAGACAGGAAGCATACTCATGCTGTTAACTCCTGTGGTATAAAATTATAATCCTTCCATGAGTAGCAAAGATCTAGATGGATAGAAGAATTTTTGACAATAAATTCCTTAGGGAAATTGGGCAGGTGAGGCAAGAAAAGTCAGGGAGAAGATAGACCTTTAAGAAAAGTTTTATACCTTTTCTGCTACTTGAATTAAGACAAAAAAACACTTTTGTAAAAGTGATAAAAATGAAAAAACTTTAGTCATAGAATTTCAAAGCCTTTAATGTGTTGGTATCAGTATCACTGGAAATTCTACTAGGCTTTGGTTATTGGAGCTAACGTGTGTCTCTTGGCCAGAGTGTTGACCGCCTGCTTCTCCTGTGCGATGTCTGCACATGGAGGCCACTGTCCATGAGAAGAAGGAAGCCTTCCCTCCTCGGTATTAATGTTGTGTCTGTCAGTAATTTTCAATAGAAGTCTCGGGCAGCTGTAAAGCTGCTGCTCATACTGAGTCACACAGCGAAGATGGGACGGGCACGGGTTGCCCCCGCAGGGTGTCAGCTGGGACCCGCCCCCTGGGACCTGTCCACAAAGCGCATCAGAGTCAAGTGGTCAGACACATAGGACCGGGCTCTCCTTGAGTTCTCTTCATTTGCTTTTTGAGGAAGTTAGTCACAAACCCACATACCTTATTATTAGAAATGTCACAACCCATTTTGCAGCTGTCCCAGCCCAACCAGCATGTGCCACTGAACCCCATCTTTGCACACACCGCTCCAGGTCACAGAGAGGGAGAGATGTGCTCCAGCCAGAGGGAGCAGAATGTGCAAAGATAAAGAGGTGTGTAAAGCATATGGTGTACTCCAGGAAAGCAAGGAGGGCTAGAACTTCCAGTGGAGGGGATGGTCAGGGCAAGATTAGACTGGAAAACAGACTCAGACTCAGCTCCAAAGGGCCTGGGAACTGTTTTTACATGCTCTGTGACCTGGGCCAGGCTGGATGGGCCTCGGTTCTCCGGACTTTAACATGCAGCCCACACTACCTTCTTCCCCAGGTTGTCTGCATGAAATAAGAAATGTGTGCAAAGGTCTGGGGCAGAGCTGCACACAGCGAATATTGGTGGCAACACATCCCACTGTTTCCTGGCCTTCCCGCCCAGATAAAGGGATGGGGACTTTACCCTGTAATGGAAAGCCTTCAGGCATCACAGGGAGAAAAGCCACCTCTGTGATCAGAACAGTTTTCATTTCGAGGCAGCGATGTGCCCAGGTGACTTGGAGAAAGGCAGGACCACAGAGGGGCAGGATCCCGAGTTACTTACTTGCAGTCAGTTTTGCTCACAGGTTACTTCTCAGCTCCCTAAATAAGATTTTAAATCTTGATGCTGAGACAACGTTCACCGCGCCCACCTGAGCTCTGTGTTACTTCCCAAGAACTACAGGTCGACAGGGTCACCGTGACCCCACGTTCTTCCCTTTTGTCCTCTTGCCTGAAAGCTGCTCCTTGTGTCCCATGCCGCTGCAGCGCCGCTGCATTCTTGTGCATTCCTCCTCAGGGCACCAGCTCAGATTTCATCTGTTTACTGACGGTTTCAAAGAAGAGCTTCTATTCCGTCAGGATCCTGGGAATCTTATTATTTACTTCTACTTTGGGGATTCACCTGGTTCTGAAAGACTTCTGTTGGCTAAAGGAGAAAGTATTTTTACTGGGACACATCATTTTAATAGGTGTTTAAAACATGGTACAGAGACCTACACTTAAATATTGGCTCTTCAGGGATTCCTGATGGTCCACGGGTTGGTACTGCATGCTGTCACTGTTTGGGGCCTGGGTTCCATCCCCGGCTGCGGAAGTCAGATTCTGCAAGCCCTGCAGTGCAGCCAATATATGCATATTTATAGTCTCTTTCGTTTACAGGTTGTTTGACTTGAAGCAGATCTCTCAGCCTCCCTGAGCCTGTTTCCCAGTCTATATAAGGCACAAGGTTATTGTGAGGATTAATGAGATGTATACAGTGCTCGGCTCATAGAAAGGACTTATATTTTATTTTTCAGAGTCCCTTACAATAAAACTTTCCTACCGAAGTCTTTTTTTTTTTTTTAAAGGCAGCAGACTGTCCTGGGAAGCTGTTCATCTTCCATTCCTCTTTGCCAACTGCAGAAGCACCAGGGAAACTCAAAAACAGAGATGACAAAAAAATGATTAATACGGACAAAGAAAAGGTATATGTAAACAGCTGCCCTTTGAAATGTCCATATGTCAGTTCTTACAAGAGAATAAAGAGACAGGGCATGTGTGATTTGTGTAGGAAAGGGGGCAAAGTTAAATGTATAAATCCGGGGTACTGTACATTGTAAGGAAGATTGTGAATTGTAAATACTTTAGGAAACTGTATATTCCTAGGGAAAGGGATATCTGATCTACATTAAGATAAAATCTCAAGCTTTTTCATGTATAACTCATGTAAGACACTGCTTGGTAAGACTGTTAAGGGGAGGGGAGAAATGGGGGAAAATGCAGAAAGGTCAGGTAGAGGGTGAGTGTGATGGACAGCCCCCTAGGACGGCAGTCCTGTCATGCCCGGGGCTCCGAATACGCTTTGCTCAAACCCTCTGAGCTGTTGCCCTGGGACCCAGTCAGGGCGCAGGATGAACCGTGAGACGGGCATCCAGCCGGGGCCCCGCGATCCCGGACGGGCGCCTGCCTCGGCCTGTGCGGGGAGGGCAGCGGCGTCAGCGTCCCTGGAGTCGGGGTCAGATGACCCACGCACGTGCGTGCACTTGACGTGGCGCACGCCTGGCACACGGGGCGCTGACGCACAGCCGCCCCCTGGGCACACCGCGGCCCGCTTCCTCAGCCCGGAGGACGCAGCGGACGCTAACAACAGAAGCGTTCTGCGGGCTTCATTTCCCCTCTGTGCGCCCTTTCCTTCAGATCCTTTTCCAGCCTCAGGCCGGCGTCTACGACTCTCTGGCCAAAGACTGCGTGGCTCACGGCTGCTGCGTGACTCTCTTCCTCTTCCCCAGCCAGTACGTGGACGTGGCTTCCCTGGGGCTCGTGCCCCTGCTCACGGGGGGCACGCTCTACAAATACAACGGCTTCCAGGTAAACGCCCGCCGTCTGTTCCCCTGGCTTCCTCCTGCCCCTGGGGCCTCAGAGCTGCGCCCGCTCGTGGGCAACCGACAAACGTGAACTCTCGAGCCGACGGCAGAGGACGGACCGGTGGCTGAGAATTGCTTTCCTGGGAAGGAGAGGGCGGGACGAAATGGAGGGATTCCACTGGCATAGACACACGAGCGTGTGTGAAACACACGGCCGGTGGGGCCTGCTGTGTGGCCCAGCGTGCGCAGCCCGGGCTCTGTGATGGCCTGGAGGGGGAGACCCGGGGTGGGGTGGGGGCTTAGGACTGAGGAAATGTAAGTATACTGACGGCTGATTCACGTTGTTGTGCGGTATCGTAAAGCAATTATCCTCCAATAAAAGAGAAATTTTTTAAAAAATTACGGAAAAAAAAAATGCTCTCCTGCTTCCTAAGGTATGGCAACAGATGGAGCTCATTCAGCCTCAGGTTTGAATATCACTGTGTAAGCTTCCCTGTTGGAGGGAAATAATATTTTCTATAAAATGTTTATATGTTATATAAAAGCTTATATTCAGTATATTTGAGTTTGCTTTTTAAAGTGACCATGTGTTGGTTTTAAATCGCTATGGTTTGAAGGGGTCAGTTCATTGTACCCCTCTCTTCCAAGCCTGAACTAAGAGTCAAGAGATGGTCAGAATGTCAGCACTGGAAGGGACCCAGGTCTGTGGGACTTGCTGCTCTTTTCCCCTCTGAGAGACAGACACCACCAGACACAGGGTGGGCGCAGATGGAAGCGTCTCCTGGACCCCTGGCCCTTGCAAGCTCCAATATTGAGGGCCAGGCTGTGCGTGCCTCCTGCAGGCTGCCCCCCCTACCCCAGAGGCTGCAGAAGAGGCTGAGCTCTGCCCACCCAGCTCCTTGTCCCAAACTCAGACATCACCTGCCCTCACCCGACAAAGGTGAGGAGGCGCCTCTGGTGTGTGTACCCCCACATGGAAACATGGAGTGGGAACGCGTGTTCCCCCAAGAAATGTGACAAATGTTCATCATCTTTATTTTGATGAATGCAGTTATTTTTAATTGCATAGCTACGTACTTATATTGTAAACTAGCTAAGGGATTTGATAAGATCAAAGATCACAAATGAAATAACATTGAAAGGGCTTTCTGAACCCTAAGATTTCTGGATAAACTAGGTTTTAATCAAGATTTTTTTTTTTAATAGAATTGTTTTCAGTATTTTACCGCCACCTGGTGGACATGATTGTCCTTTATTTTTTAGATACACTTGGACAGCCAGCAGTTTTTGAATGACCTCAGAAATGATATTGAGAAGAAAATAGGATTTGATGCTATCATGCGGGTTCGTACCAGCACAGGTATTTTTCATTTATACTGGTTTTCTGGTCTCTGATGTATAAGTGCTTCCTCTTGAAACTAACAACAGGCCAACAAAGAAAATGACAGTAAAATAAGGAAAAACAAAATTTTCATTTTCCCTCCTCCTCCTCAGGTTTCAGAGCCACTGACTTCTTTGGCGGCATTTATATGAACAACACCACCGACGTAGAGATGGCAGCCATCGACTGTGACAAAGCCGTGACCGTGGAGTTCAAGCATGATGACAAGCTCAGTGAAGACACCGGGGCCTTGATTCAGGTGACTCAGAGCGGACGCCTGGCTTTTGCTTAGTTTGTTACTGACAGTGATCATTGGGGAGACTCCCAGGACCATCAGCTGTGCCATTCTCTCCAGAAGGAAGTCCAAAGGTGGAAGGCACTAGATTGGAGGGCTCTGTGGCTTATTCTGCACACTCTGACTCCTGTGCTCTTTCTCGGAAGTAATGATGTCTATGGAGTGTTTGCATGAGAGCCCGCAGACTTGAGGTCAGATGACAGGCATCGGCCCTCAGCCCCCAGGTTTGCAGCACCCCTGCCACGCGCCGGACACCGTGCTGAGACAGGTCATCTTGGCAGAAGCAAGTGTCCACAGGACATGGCTTTGTAGCAAGTAAGATTAACTAGAAGCCACGGAGACTGTGACATTAAACAGGAGAAAGTCTAATGGTCAGTTTTCAGTCAACAGTATCACCCTCAAAGAAGGGAGAGGTTGACATCAAACTGAGGAAGAACTCTTGTAATTAATATGTATTTTAAAATCACAGAAATGGGGAAATGGTTACTTGTTCACATTATCAAAATGTATATATTTATCATTAGTATAAAACCTGTCACCAGAGCTAGCTGTTTCTTTCTGGGTGAAGGAAGCCTGGAGTAGGACTATGATAATGTGAAGGTATTATTTCTGGACCTGAATCCCTGGCAATAAAATCAAAGCTAGGAAGTGTAGCCTAGCCATGGAAACGCAAACAGGTATTTGCATGTGAACAGCCCCATTAAAACCTAAGTTTAAACCTAAGTTTAAATCGCTGGCCATCATTCCTCCCTTGTGTTGTTTAGTCTTTAGCAGTAATAGGAAAGGCCTGTTGGAGGGTTTAGAGGCCTTGGAACTGTGCACGCTCTTCTGTGCATGCTCTCCTGTGCACGTAAGTAAGAGCAGGCTAGCTTGGGTGGACGTGCTAACCAGTAAACACGCGCCCGCAATGTTGCCTCTGCAGTGCGCCGTGCTCTACACAACCGTCAGCGGTCAGAGACGACTTCGGATTCACAACCTGGCCTTGAACTGCAGCTCCCAGCTGGCGGATCTCTATAAGAGCTGCGAGACAGATGCCCTCGTCAACTTTTTCGCCAAGTCAGGTAACTCTTTGCCAATCCTGGGGTGCAGAGTACCTTGCCTAGTGGGTCAGGCAGCCTTGTGGGTTAAACCGAGTTAGTAGCTAACAGGTATTGGGATTGTGTAGCCTTCTGGTGGGTAAATCCAGAATTTATAAAAGCAGAAGGTGAAGAATGAGTCAGCATTTCTAGCTCTAGACAAATAAGCAGAACACTGAGTCCTTCCCAGGGCGACAGTTGAAATTGAGGAAGGTGATCCTGAGACTCAGGATGGTGTGCTGTGCCCTCTGGCACATGGAGATAATGGAAGAATAGGGTCCCTCACATGAGACTGAACTGGATTACTCTTACCGAGATAATTAGGAAATGGTAGGGGCCCGAGGTGTTTTCTGGCTCCTTCTCCCCTCCTTGCCCCAAACCCCAGCTGAAATTCTGCACTGGGCTTTAGAAAAGCAGTCCACTCCGTAGGAGTTCAGAACATCCGAGATGGTGAGCTGGTCTTGCTTTTCTCTGAGTAGAGTCCTATTTCTAATATTCTGAGGAAGAATCTGGACTGATTTCCTGCCTTTTGTTATAGGTAGGCTGTTGTTTTCCATTGGCTAAACCATACTTAGTCAAGAGGAGAGCCTTATCCAATGACTTTAACATTTTAAAATGCTGTTATTCCTAGCTGAGCGGTCTGAAGATAATAGCAATTTGTTCTTTTATTATGTGAAGGGATCCATTTCTGAGCTAAACTTTTTGCGCCCTTTTCATTGTTTTGTGCAAACAGCTTTTAAAGCAGTTCTACACCAACCCTTGAAGGTCATTCGGGAAATTCTGGTTAACCAGACTGCCCACATGTTGGCCTGTTACCGGAAGAACTGTGCTAGTCCGTCTGCAGCCAGCCAGGTAAGTCACCTGCTGTCTTCCGGGACTTGCTCATGCCGCGCTCTGCTGCTGAAGGCCTCTGTCGTCTGGGTGCTGAGATGCTGCCCAGTGAACTGTAACCAAGAAGACTGAGGATGCCACTGGGGGGACCGTGGTGTTTTTATGTGTGAAAGTCCCTCAGGTATGTCAGACTCTGCAGCCCCATGGACTGTAGCTCACCGGGCTCCTCTGTTCATGGGATTCTCCAGGCAAAAATACTGGAGTGGGCAGCCGTTCCCTTTTCCAGGGGATGCTCCCAACCCAGGGATCGAACCCAGGTCTCCTGCATTGCAGGTGGATTCTTTACCAGCTGAGCAACCAGGGAAGTCCATGGTATTTTTACAGCCAACATTAAAAAACTTAGTGGCCTTACAACACGCATGAACCTCAAAATGTGCGTGCATATTGTGCTGACAGTCACTGCATTATGTAAAACAGAAGAATGTTATATGTAAGAAATGTCAGTATAAACCAGGTTTTCTTTTGCATATAAAGATGAATATTACATTGTGAAATGGGGAAGCTTAAATACTTTTTGGATATATTAACAAATTTGACAAGAGCTAATCGCAGAAATGACTTATCTATATTTTATAAACACAATTTATAAATTCTAAAGTTCTTTGTATTTAATAGTTAATAATAGGGAACTCCCTGGCAGTCCAGTGGTTAGGACTCCGTGTTTTCACTGCAGGGGGCACAGGTTTGATCCCTGGCTGGGGAACTAAGATCCCCATGCTGCACAGCCAAAAAACAAAAAATTAGTAATAGGTATGAAGAGTTTTGAAAAAAGCTGGCTAATAACTTGAAATTTTAGAAGATCTTTTAAATAAATCTGACTCATAAAAACAAAAGGAAAAAAAAGGCAGAACCTCAGGCCCACATTTATTTTTGTATCTGTTCTCTTTTTCGTAATCTTTCCCATCATAGCTAGATGCCATTTTTCATAGCTGTATTGAACATCTGAACACAGAATCAAAGAAGATGGCAACAGGTGGGAGACTTTCTGGTTAATTCTTGTTCACAGCGACACTTGAAACTCCACCTAAAGCAACCCTTCAGCAACAACAATAGTAGAGATAGATCTGGGGGCCAAATTCATAATCTGGGTAATGCAGGAAATTAAAAAATCGTTATTAGTTTGGACTTTTTACAGAAATTCCTTTGTTGTCCAGAGGGATTAACGTAGCCATCCATTCTTCATCTCCTGCTGATAATCACAGAAGCAACTCTTAGATCTGTGTGAGTCAGCCCTCTTTGTTATTCAGAGGATTTGCCTCTTCAGTAAACTCAGCGTCCCTTTTCAGAGCATCCTACACAGAGCCCCCCAGGAGCTCCTGGGTACAGGCCAGCCAGGACCACTGTACCCCCCAGTCTCACTGTTTTGGAACTCTGGAAACATTGCTCTGTGTCTGGAGTGTCTCACATGTCAGGAGGACTTGCTGAAGAAGAACAGGTACAGTTAGTGAGCTCTAAGGAAGTTTATTTGCTAAAACAACTGGATTCAAAAAAACCTTACGTTAAAAACAAATCTGTTGCCTACTTAAGGGAAGAAATAAAACTGGTCGGTTCCTTCTGGTTTAAAGTTATAAGCTTTGCCTTTACTTATTAGATCATCTGTTTGCACAGTTTATTTCTGGAGTGACAGCATTCTGATGTCAGTCTGTTTCTGAAAAAAAAAGTAGATAAAGATTATTCCTGTTCTTTTGGAGATTTTTCTTTCTCCATTAGCACATTTCAGCTATACCTTTCTCCATCAGGGAGTAGGGAAAATGTAGAGATGATAATACTGTTAGTAACAATGATATATTAAAATACACCATTATTTAACAGAATGTCTAGACTTCAGGTTCTTCTCAGAGAATGTAACTTCAAATTTGATGGTCTTTCCATAGTTCATTTTCAAGAAATAATTTCCATGGAGAAATCTGTAAAGGAATTCCACTGTTTTATTCAATACTACAGAGCCCAAAGTTTCCTTGATCCAAGCAAGACTGTTAAGGAGCTGTGTACTTGCATTATATGTACTGGACCTCAGGAGATATGCTTTTACTGAATTGCCAGGGCCAGCACAAGGTTGATGTAAAAGAGGAGCTTAAGGTGCAAAATTTAAGGAGGCACCCATTCTGCAGGTCACAGGATAGATGCTGAGTTAAGACATATAATTTAAAACAACATTAAAACAATTTTTTAAGCTTATATAAGCAATGTAGCTCCCTTTTTTATTAAATATAACAACTCACTGTCCCAAACTTAAATACATGACATCATATGGGAGTACACTGACTGCAGGAGGTAAGTCGCATCACCTTAACTGGAAAGTAACAGTTTTTTTTTTTTTTTTCCATTACCACATCAGTTACTTCAAAACCCAAAGCACAGAGTTCTCCAAATTCAGGCAAACTGGACTCATATGAATTTGCACTCCCTCCTCACTCACACCTTGTCTTCTCAAGAGTAACTTCACTGTTTATGGAGAGGATCAGGGAGGCAGGGAAAGGTTTTAAGTACTGCTCTGTTACCACATTTTCTTCCCTACCTCAAAAACATTGACTGTCTGTTTTCTTTCACTCATTTTTCTTCATCACAAAATTTCCTTCTTCCTTTCATTCTCAGTTCTATTCCTTCTGCCCTCCATAGTCTCCTCTAATCAGACTTTTTAGTCCTGAAAGTGTCATCACAGGCCAGGCTCAACTCTCTGTGGTATTTAGGGCAACAAATTTCTAAACTGTCTTAATATGACCTGATTAATGAGAAACAGCCAGTGAATTGCAAGATAATATTTAAAAACTGTACATACATGCTTCTCTATGGGGATGAAAGAACATTTTTAATCCATAACAGGTAAGATGCCTAACTGGTAATTAGCCCAGAAATAGCCCTGGGGCCACTTGGCTCCAATGACCATGGTTTGTGTCCTTGGATCGTAATTTTTTTTTTTTTTTACTCCTAATTTTCCTTGGCTGAAAACATATTCCAGTACCAAATGCTGTCAAATAAAAATACTTTATGCTAAATAAGTGAAATAAGTCATAGAAAGATAAATACCATATGGTCTCACTTATATGGGGAATCTAAAAGACAAAAACCAAGTTCAAATACTGAAAAGAGATTGGTGGCTGCAGGGAGGTGTGGAGGGTGGGCAAAATGGGTGAAGGGGCTCAAAAGGTACAAACTTCCAGTTATAAAATAAGCAAGTAATGGAGATACAATGTACAGCATAGCTGCTGTAGTTAATGATACTGTATTGCATGTCTGAAAGTTGCCAAGAGTAAATATTAAAAAGTTCTCATCACAGGAAAATTCTGTAACTTTTATGGTGATGATGTTAACTAGAATTGTTTTCATTTCACAATATATACAAGTATCAATTATTATGTTATATACCTGAAACTAATATAATGCTAAACATTATTTCTCAATTAAAAAAAAGTTTATGCTAGAGAAGAAATTCAAAGAGTGTTTCCTCACATGAGGAAACATGCATTTATCTCACTGTCTTTGGTTTTTTTGAAAGGAGATAAAAGTTGAGAGGAAAAACAAACTGCAAAGTAGAATTGTTCTAAAATATATTTTCCTTAATAAGAAAGTTCTATCTTACATATTTCTTACTTAGAAGATCATGGGAAGCGATAATAAAGAGATTTGAGGAATAAATCCTATTAATAACAGAGCCAGAAGGGAAATTTTCTTTTCAGCATGTTAAGTGTATATTTTTTTTCATCATTAAAATAGAAAGCTAAAAAGAAATCATGAATTTATAGACCAGATATTTATATTTGCAGGTTACCTATCCCCTGTATATGCTTTTCTTTTGGATGTTTTGTTGTTCATTGACCTACTGTTAAATGGAAGAACTGACACTCAGTCTCTCTTGATTCTTAGCCATATTTGTAAAACTGTGTTCGTAAGGTTAAACAGACAGGCAAATTATTTGTAATTTTTTTACTCATGTTTCTAGAATTGCTTCATTGTGTTACTATTTGGAGCATCATATTATGGTATGTACTTGGAGGCAGTTAGAATGAAATCAGAATGAGGTCACATGAGCCAAAGAGAGGATGGAGAGGAAGAAGGTACAGGTGGATTTTAAAGGTTATAAAGGTGGATTATAAAGGAATGGAGAGAATTTGTGTTCTAATTGAAGGTAAAGAAAAAATGAAATTAGGGTTCATCTAGTATCTCTAGTATCTAAAACAGGAAACATAAGAAGAAAAACATGTTTGTGGAATTGTAGGAGTTTGATTTTTTCCTATTATCATTTAGTGACATACCTAATAAAGTCACAAAACATTTCCTGTTTTAATTTCTATATATATATTGAACAGTATTTGAATTTTCCTTATTATGGTTTATCTGTCTATATGCATATCATCCCCAGTGCACATTAGACATCTTGCATGTGGACTATGGCTCATTCCTCTGCAGAGGCCTTAATGCTTTGACAGAACCTGTGACACAGCCCTCCTCCAGTGTCTGAGTCTGTGACTGTGTGAGTTTAAGCTGCAGGAAGCGCACAGAGGAAGAGAGATCTCAGGGGTAGCCGGAAATGCTGTTCTTGAACTCAAGAGGTAGAAAGAAGCTGGTAATACAGATTAGGAAATAATTTATACATTTCATTTTATTTAATAAACGTGTATATGACACTGTGTGATGGGCATTACTATAAGTGCTCCACAAATTAGAAATAATTTGATCCTCCTAACCACCCCAGGATCATGAAGTAGAGGTGCTATTATTCTAGAAGAGAAAACGGAGGAAAAGAGAGGGTACGGAAATTTCGAGAGCTGGTACAGTTGGTAAGACGCATAGCCCGGGCCACGAGCCCCCGCGGTGAGCTGTGCTGCTTTCCCTGCTCTAGGGGATGTATATGGGCTACCATTTCGTTCTCTCTGCAACCTCAGAAAGCAAATGTTTCTCTTTTCCAGGTAAAGTGCAGTGGGTCTTGATTCTCAGTAAAGAGCAAGCATCTGAACCCGGTGTTTCTCTCTTCCAGCTGATCTTACCGGATTCCATGAAAGTCCTGCCGGTGTACATGAACAGCCTGTTGAAGAACTGCGTGCTGCTCGGCAGACCCGAGATCTCCACGGACGAGCGGGCCTACCAGAGGCAGCTGGTCATGACCATGGGCGTGGCTGACTCGCAGCTCTTCTTTTACCCACAGCTTCTGCCCATAGTAAGTAGGAAGTGCGTTATGGTGGCGCATTTCCTAGAGACGTCTGGGAGAGAGTCCTAGTTTGTTCTTAACCAGAAACTTCGGTGTCACGTGCCGCGCAGGCCTGAGACGGCCTCCGGGCGGGGCGCTCCAGCTCACGGAGCTGTTGGGTGACCGCCTCTCTGCCCTCATTCCCAGACGGGTTAGGATTCTTTGACGGATTAGGCACTGAATGGTCAGGAAGCCCAGCCTCAGGTGAAGAAATCTACCTTATGACATGAAAGGCAACTGCTGTATCTGTATGGACTTTTATAAACACACGTGTGTTTGTTTTTAGACAGTGTATTATTTGATAGTCACCACATTGAATTGGAATGGCTCTGATGAGCCTTGTGCAGATGCCCTCAGAGTTTACCTGGTGATGCATTCTGCTTCTTTACTGAAGACAGCCCTGACGTGCTCTCTGCCTCGGCTCCTTCCCCCCGAGACCTAGCAAGCAGGTTATAACTGTGGGATCAGAGAGGGGACAGCCGAGGACTGGTTTCTGACTCCTGGATTAAAGCTCACGCCCAGGCTCTCAGTAGTAGTGCAATTAGGAAGAGTTAACGTACGTTCAAATAGTTGATGTTCAGATAAAACTGGACTCTGTCAGAGAATTTAGGACCCTCGGGGACACGGACATGACGGTCTTACTAAGATCGCCTTGCCGAGGTCCCGGTGGTCAACATGTTAATAAACTCAGTGGGCTGCTCGCAGTCCTCTGCTGTGAGCACTGCACCTGACAGCTTCTCCCTCTAGAGCACCCTCTTCCCCCGGTTTCTCTGCTTCTCCAGCCTCTCCCGCTGCCGCCTTTGCTGGTTTACCGTTTTCCCCGTGCGGGCCCCCGGGTCTCAGCCCCCAGGACGCTTCTCCTGTCTGTGCACACAGCCCTGCGGGAGTCTGACCTGTGTCAGGCCGGCAGCCACCGTCTGCACCGACGCTCAAGTTCCCGTCTATAGGCGGCACCGTCCTGAGCTCCGCGGCGCTGGCGCCCCTGGAGCCCGTCTCCGTGGGCTGTGCCGGGCACCGCCCCCAAGCGCGCTGGACCTCCTCTCCTGCAGTCTTCCTCTCTCCTTCCGTGACCAAGGCCCACGCTCACCCTTTGGCTCTCTCCTTCCTCACCCACCACATCGCAGCCGTCAGCAGTGCCAGCTCGTCCTTCCAAGAACACCCAGAGTTCCTCGCCCACTGCCACCACCCCGCCTCCAGCAGAGTCGCCTCTGCTAACGAGCCTGCTTGCTGGCACCTGTGGCCCCGCAGTCACTTTTTGGCACGGAAGTTAGAATAACGCTGCTCAAGTCACTGTCGGTTCACGGCCCTCCGCCCCTCAGAACACTTCAGGATGTCCCCTTTCCAGAGAAGCCCCCCTGCTTTCTGTCTGACTCAGCTTATTTCTCTCTCACTCTCTGCTCCAGCCACACCGGGCTCCTCGCGGAGCCCTGAACGGCCGAGAAAGTGCTGCGCCTCAGGCCCTCTGCCCCCGAGGCTCCCCGCCTGGAATGCGCACGGCCGGCTCAGACGTTACCTTCTTAGCAAACCTCCTGGCCTCCCCTGTGTAAAACTGTACCACCAGAGGGCTCTGTCCCATTGCCCTGCTTCACAGCGCTTAACGCCGTCTTGAGTTTCTATACACCTAGATTTTTCTGCTGTCTTTTCTTTCCTCCAAAAAATGGCTGTATAGGTATACAAGGCGCGGATAACTGTCTAATGACTAGAATGCCTGGCGCAGGGCAAGGACTCATTGAATGTGAACTGCGAGGGAGGAGGGGGAGGGGGTAAGAGAGGAAGGGGGAGCAGGAGGGCCTCTGACTCTGGCCTCTGCCTCGCAGCACACCCTGGATGTCAAGAGCACAACATTACCTGCTGCTATTCGCTGCTCTGAGACCCGTCTTTCAGAAGAAGGAATATTCCTCTTGGCGAACGGTCTAAACATGTTCTTATGGTTGGGAGTAAGTAGCCCACCAGAACTGATTCAAGGAATCTTTAACGTGCCATCTCTTGCACATGTCAGCACAGATATGGTAGGTATATTTTTTCCTTTGTTTTGCAGTAATAAATTCTTAAATGCTTTTTGTTCGTGTGCAACCATATATTATAGAGAAAACAATAAGGTCTGTAGTTATATATAAGAGAATTTCATGTTTTAATGAATAACAATTAGCTAGCATAAAGCTGTTTGTATAAAGTATTATCCAACAGCCAAATTATATGATTTTAATAGAGACTGCGAACACTACCAGACCATTTCCTATTTGTTAATCACTGTGCTCCAAATACTTTAAATACACTGTTTCATTTAATTCTTGTAACAAATCGGTGAGACAGATACTGCTGCTGCTGCTAAGTCGCTTCAGTACTGTCCGACTCTGTGCGACCCCAGAGATGGCAGCCCACCAGGCTCCCCTGTCCCTGGGATTCTCCAGGCAAGAACACTGGAGTGGGTTGCCATTTCCATTTTCTAGACAGCTCCAGTGAGGCATAGAGACAGGTTCTTTCAGTAGTAAGTGGCAGAGGTGGGAAGTAAGTTTGTTCTCAGGCTCTGGGCTCATTCCTGGTGCTGAACTGCATATTCACAAGGATGCAGAATCTCTCATACACGTTCAGATATGACAGATATGACCACCCCACAAAAACAAATTATGCACCCTTCTGTTTCATTTATTTCAAAAGAGATTTTAGATTTGATATGGAATGAACACAAATGATGTTCTTAAACTATAATTGCTGCTTTTCCTAGTATACTTTGAGAAGCACACTGACTGCATACCTTATTTGCAGACCATCGTGTGAGCGCCATTGCTGTGATGGTTGTCTTCCTCTGCTCAACTGGATTCTCTTATGAATTCAGATGCAGAATGCAGCAGAGAATTTGTTCCCTGAGTCCTCATTCACATTTTGGCAGATGGCTTAAGGCTTTAATTTCTGGTATGAAGGTAGACACATAGTATCTGGAGGAGGAGTTTAGATTAAAATTTCAGGTTAAATAGATATGTGATCAGTTTAGAGAGCTGCATATCTATTATGAATGTAAAAATATATTTTTAAAGAAGTTAAAGGTATCCATTAAGAGGTTAGTTTTAAGATGAAGATTTAGAAATAGTAATATGTTTGCATGTGGTTGAAATTAAGAATGATTAGAAAGGCAGTTTCTTAAAAATTAAAATTCAATAGGTAAAGAACTATGAGTGTGAAGAATGTTTATATAAAATTTAAGGAAGCCTCTTATTTCATATATGAAATATAAGTTTCACATATTAAATTTAAATTTCACATATAAAATAACTGTTAATGCATATTTGTTGAACATACATATGAAGTAGCCAAAGTCTGTCCACCACAAAGCAACAGATTGCTAGTTTTGTGCTTATGTCACCATATTTCTTCTCAACCTTCTTCAAAAAGTAAGACAAAAAAACAAATATTGCTTTCTTTTTAGAGGCAGTTTGCACTTTGAGACATATACATAAAGTATACTTACTTAATTTTTTTTTTTAAAGAAAATTTAAAAAATGGTCTTAAATGTCAAGAGAATACACAGAGGGTGTGGAATGTGAATATAAATAATGAATTTCTTGCCATTTTTTTTTAACAACCCCTGTGAAAAATACTGGCTATGATCCTTTCCTGAGATGTGTGACTTTTTGGTAAAATGTTCCAGTTCACTTTTCCAGTGGCTAACTCACAGATGTTGTCTTAGCTCTTGGTATCTCCTTGCTTAGAAGTACGCATTAACATTTCTAAGTCCAGACCTTTCATGGCCCCCAGGGGCCACATGCAATGGGTGCTCTCTCTTATATACCATCACCCAGATTTCAGGGAAATCCGAAAGGCCACATTCCCTCTGAGAAGTTAGCATTTGGTGGTTTGTTTGAATGTTGGGACAGTGGTATTTGGATGGCATTTTCCACGTGGGGTAATGCCTCAGGGTCCTGCCGCTGACCCACTAAAGGAGTGAACTACATCCTTCTCTCATAACACAGCCTTGAAATATCTATCTTGCAAAGGAATTAATCATGGTGAGTTGACATTCTTTGCAAAAATCATACAGTTTGTGTCAAATTATGCTGAATCATTTTTAATGCATTTTTATTTCACATGTTTTGTTTTTAGGTAAATGAACTAAGCCAACAGCTTGGAAGGAGGTTTTTTAACTTTAACATTCTAATAATCTCATTCTGCTTCTATCTAAATGTTGTACTGAAACTTAAATTTTATTTTCCTTAAATTTAGACATTATTGCCTGAGGTGGGAAATCCATACTCGCAAACACTCAGAATGATAATGGGTATTATCCAACAAAAGCGGCCATATTCAATGAAGGTAAGAATGAGATTTTCTTCTTTCTTCAAGTGTTCTGATTTCCTTACAGACTTTAAAATGCATGGCCTATATTTTTATAACATGACTTCTGATAGAAAACTCGCAATCTCTGAGTATACCTACCTACCTGTCAACCACACACATACAAAAATAACTATCACCATGCATTAACTAAGGGTTATCTTACTAAGTATTAACTTAGAAACAATTGATATTAAGGCTTTGAAATGATTTTCCTTCAATGCTTAAAATTATAGAAGTATAAAATAATTTGTTACATTTGACTTTTACAGCTTTTATTATCTCTGAAAAATTATGTTATCTCAGTCTTTCCAAGCTTTTTTTGAGTGTGAGTAAAAGAATTTAAAATGTCTGTTAAGTCAGGAAAATTATGCCTTGTTGCTAAGTGCCAAGTACTCACCCCTGTCTTCCTTTTCAAGCTCAACAGTAGAGTTGCTTGGAATGTACAGATGACGGTGGTCTATTACTGTACTACTTCCTGCCAAGGTGCAGAACTTTCAGCTACAGGCAGGCCTCTACAAGAACCAGGGTTTTGTGGGGCTCTTGTTCCCCCGAAACATAAATATTATGCCAGTTTATATCAACGTTCTTTACCATGATAGGCATGCACGCAAATGTCAACTTTAGTAGAACTTGGGAAAGTTGAATAAAGAGCTTTATAATCTCTAGGACATCTGGGTAAACAAAACCTTTCCAGAACTGTTTTTACATCACTACTTGGGTTCAGTTTTAGGGCAAGACCTAGAGATGGCAGAGAAGGTTCAAACTAAACATGTTCTTCACACAACACTCTGAACACCCTGGAGACATGTGATGAGATCCTAGGGTCTTCTGACACGCAGACTGACCGCCACTAGTGTTCAGAATGCACAGCAAGCGTGATCCACCTGTGTCCTAGTGGCTGCGTCTCCAAATCGGCCCCACATTGCAGAGAGGGAGCCAGACTAAACGTGGTGGTCACCCCTGCGCTCAGCAACCCCTTCTTCCAGGAAAAAAGAAAACCCTCTCCTCGCCTCTGCTTTCTCTCACCTGCTCCATGACCTGCTTATCAAGGTCATGTCAGCTTTGGTTATTAAAATATCTGCAGTAGACTCCAAATATGATATGTAAATAAAATATAAGAAATTATATAATATTAATATTAATTTTAGCTTGAATGATTTTTTTTATGTGCTACTTGCAAATGTAACTCTGTTTGAAAAATCCTTGACATTTTCAGGGTTTCAAAGAATTTGAAAATCTAAAATCCAGAAATGTGAGAGCTGAAGGAATCCAGGAGATGCCTGGTTCCCCACAGTCTCTCAGCTGCCCCTGCTGCTTAGCAGACATGAGGAGGAGTGCACTCAACTGGTCAGGGCGCACAGCTAGGTCACAACAGACACAGGCCTGTGCTGGCTGTTCAGTCCAGTGCACTTGGTTTTACATCTTTTTCTCCAACCTTTGAAAATGGATCACACAAAGGAAATGAAAACGTGTTTAAAGAGTCTTTGTATCTTTGAAAGAGTCCAGACTGACTAGGAGGAGAAAAGGAACAAGGAAAGCAAAATCAAACCAGAAGGCATTGCTGCCTTCTCGATTATGCTAGTTAGTTTTTCAGAGAATCAGCCCTCTTAGACCTCACTGTTGGCAGTCTTAAATTTGTGGGAGAACAAAACAAAAAAAAAGATTTCTATCACAGCGTATTCCCAGATTACCTAAATCAAATGCTTTACTGAAATTCTAGTCCTGCCCTGCTCATGGTTCTCCAGGCTCCAAAGTATCTCTTCTTCCTCTTGTGTTTCCTAGAATACTCCCTCCCCACTGGCTCCTTTCCAGTTTACAAGCTGTTTTCACATCTTCCTTCTTTGAAGCTGCTGCTTCTCCAAGACGCTGCTTGCTTTCCCTTTGTATCCCACAAGTTTGTACTGAACACTAGAAACATAGCAGGCATTACACCACCATGCCTCCTGAAATGTTAATAACTGCTTGTAATTTCCTTCTTCCCATCTCCAGTTTTCTCTGAACTGCCAAACTGCTAAAAACATTTTATTCTCCACCCCTTTGCAGGACTGAATACTACTGCTTTCCTCCGTTTTTCTCTTCTGTCTGCTTTCAAGACATCATACTCTCCTGATTCTTTCTCACTGACCTTTTTCATTTGGCTTCCCTTCATTCATCTGCCCCTTAGGACGAGTTGCGTTCTCCTGAGTTATACCCATGGTGCTCTCCCCTCCTTCAGCATACTCCTGATCACTGCCGTCATTTATCTGTGCCCTGTGAAACAGGCAATGTAAGAGATGAAAATGCATTTTGAAGTACAATAATTCTGTAAGCACCAGTAACATGGCCCAGAGAATATCCCATTTAGACCAGTTGGGTTGACCAGTCCTTCCACAGAGAGGGCACACAGGAACCTGGGGTGCAGACCAGTAGTGGCCGTTTTACAGTCCTCTCCCCTCCCCACCCCTGCACCCCAGAGCTGCGTCCCTCCCTACGGAATCACTGAGGGAATAACACACAGATTCCCAGTCCCTCCCAATGTACTTTCTCCTCTGACGTGTGTGGTGTACCCATGAGACTACCAGTGCATCAAGACGCCACATCCACCACTTCTCTAAATGCAGCTCCCTGAGACTTTCCACCAAGTCCTGGATGATCTAGCTTTGTAGAGACTCAAATGCGAGAGCAGGATATTAATTCCTTTGCCTTAAAGACGAGTTCACTCCCTCTTCTATTTCCTACTCCAGATTATGGCCAGATGCACACATCAGAGGAGGTTTTGCAGTGGCCACTACATTTAAACCAAAAAATAAACACATGAATGGCAGCACCCCCCAGATGAGCAATATGAACTTCCATTAATTTCCATAGAACAATTAAATTCTAAGGAAATCAGGGCCTCAAATCCTCCCCTCCGTGGTGTTTTTATTCTGCCCAGTCTCAGCCTGAGCTGTCTGAGGCCAGACCCACATTGGTGTTCCCATAGCCGACAATGGTAGAGTCCCAGCGGCACCTGGGAAAAGGTGGAGAAGACAATTTACTTGTATAAATTTCTCTTTTCGAGAAAACTACTTTGGTTTCAGACTCATCAGGATGCACACTTTAAACTCCGTGGCCGTGTTCCCACGAGAGGGGCTAGTGTCTTTCCCCCCGTCAGATGGGATATGACTGCACACCGCTGCTCCAGTGTCAGCTGCCAGGGCCTGGCACGGACCGGCCAAGACGTCACGTGTGTCCGTATCCACATGGGACTCGCCAGCTCAAAACGGTAGCTGCACCCAGCCGATATGGAACGTGCCTTCCTCGCTGTAACCGGTGTGAAGCTGGTAGCAGCAGGCACTTTGGGTGGTTTCACCAGGCAGAAGGAAGTGAGAGAAGATGCCCTGGTTTTTCTTAATTATACAGGTGGTAGATGGAGACAATGTTTTGCACATCTGTCTCCATTAACCACACACACAGCTCAATAGATATCAAATTCTGACCATTCTGATCGTCTGCTTTAACTTCTTGAAACAGAAGTGAGTAAGTGGGTCAACAGAAGAGCTGAGAGTATTCATGACAAACTATCTTTTTCTGGGCTTCCTCCCCACAGGTCTCTCCCTCTAGATCAGCACTGTCCAATAATGCAAGCTGCACATTAATCCTATGCTTTGTAGCAGCCACAATTAAAATGAAAAACAACAATTTTCATAAGGTTTTATTAACTTATCCAAAATATTACCATTTCCACATGTAATCGGTATAGAATTATTTTGATTAATTTCAGTTTAAGAACATTATCTTTTTCCTCTGTCTCCTTGGCAGCTACACTGCCTCATTCAGGTCTTGACTGTCTCCTGCCTTAGATGCTTCCAGCTGCTTCCTGTCCCGTTTCCCTCATCCCCTTAATGAACGCTACGCACCTTCATCACCTTCACTGAATCACATTTCCTACAAAAACCCAAACTCGTTACCTCCCACCGACTTGTAGAAGTGTGTGCTAATCTACCTGCCATCCAGGACTGTGCATTTGGCACGCGGTTCCCCAGTCCCACATCCTTAAGGGAATCCTACCCCGTCCTCCCAAGTTCAGCGAGTCACTGCCATTGGGAAGCCATTTCCATGGCTTTCTGCTTGTGTTTCCTTGTTGCCACTTATATGTCTTGATTTTTGTGGCTTTGCGCTCAACGCCTCTCTCCACTCTGGGTAACAGGCACTTTCTTATCCTCCTCCAAGGCCTCATAGACAACAGACATGTAATTCTGGTAGAACCAAAGCATACAAAATTGAGCCACATTTGGAAAATGTTTCTAACCAGCTGCCTTGTTGTTTTCTTCCTAGCTGACGATAGTAAAGCAGCGAGAACAGCCAGAAATGGTTTTCCGACAGTTCCTGGTAGAAGACAAAGGACTTTATGGAGGATCATCCTACGTGGATTTCCTTTGTTGTGTTCACAAGGAGATCTGTCAGCTCCTTAATTAACGGAAACTGCTCTATTGTTAATACTGCATTTCTAAGGAGACACTCTCCTTCTTGGTGCCTAATTCTCCGGATAGTAACAGTCTAGTTTTGATTTCTTGCTCATTTTCAGAATAGCTTTCCAAGATGGCATTTTAGAACTTCAGCTTTGGTGCTCAGGTATAAAGCCAATTGAGGTACAATTGTACCTTAAAGGGAACAGTCTATTTCTGATTGCACAATTTTAAAAAAATTATGCAGTTTGCATTTCATGAAAGGCATAGTTTACAGAACTGTAAACATTCTCAATTTTCTTTCTTTGTGCTAGACATATAAATTATTTTTCAAAATGTATAGATTTGGGGTAAAAAGTTGTCTCAGTTCCTCTCCCATTTATAGTAAGGGATAAAAAAACTTAATTTTTACATTATACTTAATTTTTTAAAAACAGTATAACCCCAGTGAACATTTTTCAACTTAAGGTTTGCATAGCAGACTTTTAAATAACCTTGGAATCTATTTTGTGGAACAATTTGTGTTCTACGTTTTTTTCATAATTACATGTTGTGTATGTTAAGACTATTTTGCAGTTGTTATTTTGTCTGTAAAACTGTCTTTATCAATATTCTTCATGGTTCCCTGTACAATTTTGATGGTTTCTACCTGTATATAACGGATCTTAACCAGTATCAATAAATTACTTCATATGCTCTTACCTACCAGGTAGAATTCATTATTTAGGTATTTTGAGGTTTTAAAAGAAATAAGAGTGGTAGTTAAAGTGTCTTGGAAAAAGTTGGATGGATGGATCACTAAAAAACAAAGTTTTGGGGGTGAGTTGGGAAGAATTAGGTAAATAAATAAAGCAATGTCAGACAGTGTACTCAAGAAAGGCAATTTAAAAGTTCTCCAGTGTGTCTTGGTGAGCAAAATAAATAAAACAGGACCATTATTAATGAATATACATAAACCTAGGAGAGTAGCTTTGAGTGGTGTGACACAGGTATCCTCTCTCCTGTTCAACTCTGATGTCAGTGACGTGAGTAATAAGAGCTAAATTAAAAGACGCTTACTCCTTGGAAGGAAAGTATGACCAACCTACATAGCATATTAAAAATCAGAGACATTACTTTGCCAACAAAGGTCCGTCTGGTCAAGGCTATGGTTTTTCCAGTGGTCATGTATGGATGTGAAAGTTGGACTGTGAAGAAAGCTGAGCGCCGAAAAATTGATGCTTTTGAATTGTGGTGTTGGAGAAGACTCTTGAGAGTCCCTTGGACTGCTACGAGATCCAACCAGTCCATCCTAAAGGAGATCAGTCCTGAGTGGTAATTGGAAGGACTGATGCTGAAGCTGAAGCTCCAATATTTTGGCCACCTCATGCTAAGAGTTGACTCATTGGAAACGACCCTGATGCTGGGAGGGATTGGGGGCAGGAGGAGAAGCGGACGACAGAGGATGAGATGACAGGATGGCATCACTGACTCGATGGGCATGAGTTTGAGTAAACTCCGGGAGTTGGTGATGGACAGGGAGGCCTGGTGTGCTGTGATTCATGGGGTCGCAAAGAGTTGGACACGACTGAGCGACTGAACTGAACTGAAAGTACACTGAATACATACAATGTCCCAAGAACTGCACTGGCTGCTCTGTGAACATCTCCACATTCATTCCTCACAGTAACCATAATCTTACTATCAGCCCCATTCACAGATGAAGAAACAAGCTTGAAATGGCTAAGGATTTCATCTGTGATTACATGTCACTCCCTAGAGCCAGACATCCAGGAGTATGAAGTCAAGTGGGCCTTAGGAATCATTAGTATGAACAAAGCTAGTGGAGGTGATGGAATTCCAGCTGAGCTATTGAAAATCCTAGGAGATGATGTTGTTAAAGTGCTGCACTCAATATGTCAGCAAATTTGGAAAACTCAGCAGTGGCCACAGGACTAGAAAAGGTCAGTTTTCATTCTAATCCCAAAGAAAGGCAATGCCAAAGAATGATCAAATTACCACAGAATTGTACTTATTTCACATGCTAGTGAAGTTATGCTCAAAATCCCTCAGCAGCATGTGAACCAAGAACTCCCAGATGTATATAATACAAGCTGGGTTTCAAAGAAGCAGGGGAACCAGAGATCAAAATGCCAACATTTGTTGGATCACGGAGAAAGCAAGGGAGTTCCAGAAAAACATCCATTTCTGCTTCATTCATTACACTAAAGCTTTTGACTCTGTGGATCACAATGAACTGTAGAAAATTCTTAAAAGAGATGGGAATACCAGACCACTTTACTTATCTCCTGAGAAACCTGTATGAAGGTTAAGTTAGAACTGGACAGGGAACAACACACTGGTTCAAAATTGGGAAAAGAGTATGTCAAGGCTGTATACTGTCACCCTGCTGGGGTCCAGCCTCGGCAGGATCCAGGGGGTACCCTCAGGATGAATGGCGTCGGCGAGAGAGAGAGATATGAGACCAGCCTTGATAGGGCCAAGTCTGTGAGAGAGAGAGAGAGAGAGAGAGAGAGAGAGAGAGAGAGAGAGAGAGAGAGAGAGAGAGAGAGAGTGACCAGACAGGGGGTGCAGCAGGGTTTGGCAGGGTCTGGCAATGCTTTATTTTTTACCATAGTTTTTATACCCTAAGTTAATACATTTCTAAGGGGAAGATAGTTTAACATTATATCAGCTTGTTCTTCACAAAACCAGGGTGTTTTCTGCATACTTCTTTGTTTATGAGGGTCTTGTACATTATCTTCTGGCCTTGGGGCCTATTAACATTTTATGCAAGTCAGGTGAATGTAAACCTATTTTCTGTTTCTATGGTGACCTTAACTGAAAGGTAGCAGTCTCATAGGGCAATAGTACAGAGTAGAAGTATAACCATGTTAACATAAAAATTAATCCTTCTGCAGAAGTTGTCAGTTTATCTAAGAAGTTTACCCCACACTGACTCTGTGACTTTGGTGAGGCAGCTTCTGCCTAGCACTCCTGGCTGACAATTAACAACCATTTCATTGTTACCACACTAGGGCTAAGCTCTTATTTTTCTAGATCTATATTAACAATGGTTTCTATAACACAACCTTAGCACACTAAGAACAAAAACACAGCAAGCAAATGTTAACCCAATAACCACCTTTAGAATAATTTTTCTTACGTTTTCTAATAGGACTCCTTCACCCCCCAAAAAGGCTCTATGTCTATTAGGGCTTTTATATAATCAGGTTCTTTATGCTATTTTATGATTAGGATATTATAAGCAATCATGCATATTAGTACCAAGGGCATAAGTGCATTTGGCAAACAAACTACCAGCAAAGGAGTTTAAATTAAAAACACTCCTTTCACCCTGGATAATCTCATACCACCACCACCTGGGAAACTTATTGATTAAAGTTCTAAATTGATTCTTATTTGGGAAGAGATGGGGGAAGGCCTTCTGCCTCTGTCACAGATATTAGGGAGTAGTCTATTGAAGCAAGCATCAGAAAGACAGATATCATCTTTAAGGTGAGTGCCGGGGGCAGCTTTTCGGAATCCCTGAAAACCTGATCCGCCTTGCCTGTCAGGTTTTCTCCTCATGACCTTGTCATGGGTGGGATCTCGTGTGCTGGCTCCCGGCATCACCCTGTTTATTTAACTTCTATGCAGAGTTGTTGTTCAGTCGCCCAGTCACGTCTGACTCTTTGTGACCCCATGGACTGCAGCACACCTGGTCTCCCTGTCCTTCACCATTTCCTGGAGTTTGTACATCATGTGAAATGCCAGGCTGGATGAATCACAAGCTGGAATCAAGACTGCTGAGAGAAGTATCGACAAGCTGAGATATGCAGATAAGCATTTCTGCCTAATGGCAGAAAGCAAAGAGAAACTAAAGATCCTTTTGATGAAGGTGAAAGAGGAGAGTGAAAAATCTGGCTTAAAACTCAACTTTCAAAACACTAAGATCATGGCATACAGTCCCATCACTTCATAGCAGACAGATGGGGAAAAAAATGGAAACAGTAACAGACTTTTTTCTTGGGCTCAAAAATTAACTGTAGGTAGTCTGACTGCAGCCATGAAATTAAAAGACACTTGTCCCTTGGAAAGAAAGCTATGACAAAACTAGACAGTGTATTAAAAAACAGAGACATCATTTTGGCAAGAAAGGTTCATATGAGTCAAAGCTATGGCTTTTCCAGTAATCATGCATGGATGTGAGAGCCAGACCAGAAAGAAGGCCAAGCACCGAAGAACTGATGCTTTCGAACTGTGGTGTAGGAGAAGCCTCTAGACAGTCTCTTGGACTGCAAAGAGATCAAATCAATCGATCCTAAAGGAAATCAAACCTGAATATTCACTGGAAGGATGGATGCTGAAGCTGAAGCTCCAATACTTTGGCCACCTTATGCAAAGAGTCGACTCACTGGAAGAGACCCTGATGCTGGGAAAGATGGAGGGCAGGAGGAGAAGGGGGCGGCAGAGGATGAGATGGTCAGATACCATTATTGACTCTATGGTCATGAGTTTGAGCAAACTGGGAGACAGTGAAGGACAGGGAAGCCTGGCATGCTGCAGTCCATGGGGTCGCAAGATTTGGTCATGACTTAGCAACTGAATAGCAACAAGCCTAACAAGGTATGCTTTAAAATTTGTAGATATCGGGGGGCAGGCAATAGACCTGTAACCCCCAGGGCTTTCAAGCCAAAGACCCTAGGACCCAGCCCCCAACCCCTTCCACCCACCGAGGAGCAGACACCAGCCAAAAGAAAACTGCAGCTCTGATAGCTGACCAACCACTAGCAAGCTACACAAAAAAATTAAAAGGGCCATATACCACGATCAAGTGGGATTTGACCCAAAGATACAAAGTTTTCAATATCCACAGAATTAATATGATACACCACAGGAACAAACTGACAACGAACACACGATTATCTCAAAAGATAAATAAAAACCTTCTGACAAAATTCAGCATCTACTTATAAAAAATCTTCAGAAAATGGGCAAAGGGAACATACCTCAACATACTAAAGGTCATACATGGCAACCCACAGCTAGGTCATACATGATAACCCACAGCTAACATCATACTCAACTATGAAAACTGAAAGCATTTCCTCTAAGATCAGAAACAAGACAATGATGCCCACTCTCACCACTTTGATTCAACACTGTTGGAAGTCATAGCTACAGCAATCAAACAAGAAATAAAAGAAATCTAAATTGGAAAAGAAGCAGTTAAAAAAAAATTAACACTACTTGCAGGTATCATACTATATAAAGAAAATCCTAAAGATGCCACCAAAAAACTACTAGAGCTCATCAATTAATTCAGTAAAGGGTACAAAATTAACAGAGAAATTTGTTGCGTTTCTATATACTAACAACAAACTAACAAAAAGAAATTAAGAAAATAATCCCACTTATAATCAAAAAGAATAAAATCCCTGGGAATAAACTACCTAAGGAAATTTAAAAAAAAAACCTGTGCTTGAAAAACTGTAAGACAACTATAAAACACTGGGATGCAAAAGCAGGAAGTCAAGAGACAACCTGCAGAAAAAGGCAAGTTTGGCCTTCGAGTACAAAATGAGCAGGGCAAAGGCAAACAGTTTTGCCAAGAGAATGCACTGGTCATAGCAAACACCATCTTCCAACAACACAAGAGATGACTCTACACATGGACATCACCAGATGGTCAAGACTGAAATCAGATTAATTATAGTCTTTGCAGCCGAAGATGGAAAAGCTCTATACAATCAGCAAAAACAAGACTGGGAGCTGACTGTGGTTCAGATCATGAACTCCTTATTGCAAAATTCAGACTTAAACTGAAGAAATTAGGGAAAACCACTAAGCCATTCAGGTATGACCCAAATCAAAACCAGTATGACTATACAATGGAAGTGACAAAGACATTTAAGGGATCAGATCTGATACAGTGTAAAGAACTGTGGACGGAGGTTCCTAACACTATATAGGGAGGCAGTGGTTAAAACCATCCCCAAGAAAAAGAAATGCAACAAGGCAAAATTGTTGTTTGAGGAGGCCTTACAAATAGCAAGAAAAGAAGAGAAGCAAAAGGCAAAGGAAAAAAGGAAAGATAAACCCATCCAAATGCAGAGTTCCAAAGAATAGCAAGGAGAGGTAAGAAAGCCTTCCTCAGCGATCAATGCAAAGAAATAAGAGAAAAACAATAGAATGGAAAAGACTAGAGATCTCAAGAAAATTAGAGATACCAAGGGAACATTTCATGCAAAGATAGGCCCAGTAAAGAACAGAAACAGTGTGGACCTAATAGAAGTAGAATATATTAAGAAGAGGTGACAAGAATACACAGAACTGTACAAGAAAGGTCTTAATGACCCAGATAACCACGATGATGTGATCACTCACCTAGAGCCAGAACTTCTGGAGTGTGAAATCAAGTGGGCCTTAGGAAGCATTACTATGAACAAAGCTAGTGGAGGTGATGGAATTCCAGTCAAGCTATTTCAAATCCTAAAAGACGAGGCTGTGAAAGTGCTACACTCAATATTCCAGCAAATTTGGAAAACTCAGCAGGGGTCACAGGCTGGAAAAGGTCAGTTTTCATTCCAATCCTGAAGAGCAATGACTAAGAATGTTCAAACTACCACACAATTGCACTCATCTCACACGCTAGCAAAGTGATGTTCAAACTTCTTCTAGCTAGGCTTCAAACTCAACTGGGAGTTCATCTTTCAGTGTCATATCTTCTTGCCTTTTCATACTGTTCATGGGGTTCTCAAGGCAAGAATACTGGAGTAGTTTGCCATTCCCTTCTCCAGTAGACCACGTTTTGTCAGAACTCTCCATAATTACCTATCCATCTTGGGTGGCCCTACACAGCATGACTCATTGTTTCATTGAGTTAGATAAAGCTGTGGCCCATGTGATCAACTTGGTTAGTTTTCTGTGGTTGTGTTTTTCATTCTATCTGCTATCTGATGGGGAAGGATAAGAGGACTGTGGAGGCTTCCTGGTGGAAGGGACTGGCTGTGGGGAAAACTGGGTCTTGCTCTGCTGGGCAGGGCCATGCTCAGTAAGTCTGTATCCCTATTTTCAGCTGATGTTCCCTCCCTGAAGTTTGTCCAGAGGCCAAACTATGGTAGGGGTAATGGCAGTGATGGTGACCTCCTTCAAAAGGACTTACGACAGCGCTGTTATATCCAGTGCTCCTGACCCCACAGCAGGCCACTGTCGACTCACGCCTCCACCAGAGATTTCTGGACACTCACAGGCAAGTCTGGCTCAGTCTCTCCTGGGGTCACTGCTCCTTTCTCCTGGGTCGTGGGGCACACAAAATTTTATCTGTGCCCTCCAAGAGTCTGTTTCCTCAGTCCTGTGGACTGTTCTGTAATAAAATCCCACTGGCCTTCAAAGTCAAATTCCCTAGGAGTTCTCAGTCCCTTTGCTGGCTCTCCAGGCTGGGAAATCTGTTTTGGGCCCTAGAACTTTTGCAACAGTGCAAGAACATCTTCAGTATAATTGCTTTCTAATTTGTGGGTCGTCTGCTCGATGGCTCTATAGTGGGGCTAACAGAGACCTCCTCCAAGAGGACTTCTGCCACACTCTGCACCTCCGAGGTCTGCTGCAGTCAGAGCCCCTGTCCCCCTGGCAGGCCACTGCTGACCTGT